GATGCATGAGATGACACTGTAGGTGCCGTGGGTGTGCCTGTACGTACGGTGGAAAGGAGGAAACAGGCGACGCGTCATCCTGTGGCAGAACACGTTTTCCAATCTGATATCGAAGAGGCTGGACCATAAATGCATCGCGTGTGCGCTGGGCGCGATAATTTGCCGTCATCGTGTGGAACGCAAGCTTCACAACTCGCGTTAGCGAGGACAAAGGTACATACACAAAACAAAACCAGCAACAACAACCTCATGCCCCTTTTGAAGCGCTTCCGTGTTCCCCGTTTGTTCCATTTTATGTTTACAACTGACGCCTCATTTCAGAAGTTAAACGAAGACTAAGTAAATGAATAAAACGAGCAACATCACCGGAAAAACGACGACGACAACAACAACAACCCACCCCCTCAGCTTATGGCGACTTTGGTCTTCCTTTTTTTAATGGAAGGGAGGGGGTTTCGTCGCACTTTCGGTGTAGTCTAGAACACCCATTGCGAGCGAAGTGCATAGAGGAGGAATACTATATATATATACATGTACAAATATAAAGAACACTTTAAACTCGGTAAAACTGAAGGAGGAAAGGAAGGGGGAGAGAACAGAAGCAAAAAAAAAAAGATCGCGCGGGTTTGTGGGGGAGAACGACCCGAACACGAACAACGCCGGACGAGCAGAAGTACCAGTAAAACACGGGAAGTAAGAAGAAGTAATTCAAAAATAATAAAACAATGAATACGAAAGCCAAAATAAATAGCATCCAACGTGGAGGGAGAGAGAGAGAATTCTCTTTTACGCTGCCCTTCTTCTTGTGAGGCAACGAAGAGAAAAGAAAGACCTGTGTGTATTTCCCTCTCTCTCTCCTCTCGGGTTGTCGCTGATTGCGAGAAAATAGTTTCGTGGGGAAAACACGACACCGGAAAAGAAGAACATTAATGTACATGGTGATTTAAAGGCCCCCCAAACCAACAGCGATGGAACAACCACAACGCAAAGCCGGCGGCAGATCTGCATCAGGACCAGGACAACGCGCCTGCACCACACCACTATCCATTGAACGAACAGGGTAACAGCGCTGCATAAGGGCAAACAAACAAACAAATGAACAAGTAAGTAAGCAAACACAACGTGAAAGCTATTCGGAAAAAGGAAAAGGAGAATAAAAGAGACAGTTTTTGTATTAGATAATAGCACTAAAAAAAACCTTAGTCATTCACGAACGAGAGAACGAGAGCTCGCTCTTCCGAGAGAGAGATCCGCACATATCAAAGGAGAGAGGAAAGGGGGGGGGGGGAGTTTTGTACATGCGTGCTTGCGGGTGCGCACAGAACGGATAAACATATTATGTCAGCGAGAATCAGAAAAAAAAAGGAAAACACAAAAAGGGAAAGCAAAAAACAACAACAAGAAAGAAGAACAGCGAATGCACGTTAGGCGGCGATGTCGCGCGCCTCACCGAAAAAAAAAACCTTTGCGACGGAGAGCGTAGCGGGAGACAAACGCACACACGCACACACGCACGCACGCACACCCCATACAAAACAAAACAAGGACAACAAACCCAACAACGAAAAGAAAGAGGAATAAAACAAAAATAAAAGAGAAGACAATAGCAATAGAACAAAAATAATAAACAAAATACAGGCGAGCTGAACAGAAAAATTCTGATGCGCACTATGAAGAAGAAAAAACATACCCGCATGTGAGTCGGCACTCACGTGTGCTGTGAGGAGTGAAATGAAAGGCTACAACTCAGCAACCTGGAAAAAATACACAAAAAAGTAAAAGCGACAGTAAGAGGATTCGTTGCAGCAGCTGCAGAAAACATGCGCGATCTACGGAGAAGAAGAGAAAAAAAAAGGAAAGAGAAAACAAACATCCAAACACGGTGTAAGGAGTTCCGATAAAGGAAGAAAAAAGAAGCATTAAAAGTCGTCTGTACATACATGAACATTGAAAGAATTCAAACAACGACAACAACAGCAAAGACAAGCACTACCACACACCGATCGACCACGTACGGAATTCTTTCCTTTTGCGTGTTTTTTTTTTGCTCATTTGACCGCAGGATTGTACTTGGCCAAGGCAACATCGCAGTAAAGTTCTTCGTTAAAATGTATCATCGTCGGCGGCGCCGGCAGCGGCACCATCTTCCCCGGCCTCGACAGCCCAGCTGCGACCGCCTCCCTGTCCTCGCCAGCGTACACGTACTCCTGATAGACGCTGTTGAAGGAGATGTCCGACGGAGACGCGCAGAGTTCCTGCGACACCCCATTCTCGCGCAGCCGCTTTAGCGCTTCGAGGGCTGGGTTCGACAGGTCTGCGACGTAGTCCTCCATGTTCAGGTCCTCGAGATCGCTTTCTTCGCGGTCGCTGCCGCAGATCTCCTGCTGATCAAAGAAGGGGCCGAAGACGTCGTTGCAGCTCGACAGCGGCTTCGGCATGCAGTCCGGCCCGTACGCCTGCTCAAGCAGCTTCAGTTCCGCCTGCTCTTCCGTCAGCTGCGGCTGATGCTGGATCGAGAGTTTGTCGGAGGCGGGGCGGCGGGAGTGGGACGGTGCCACGTACGGCACATCCGTCTGCCCCGCGGACCAGGCGAGCGAGCGGTGCACGCGGTCCTGCAGCAGCTGTCGCGCGTCTGCCGTTGTGCGGGGACTGCGGTAGGAGTCTTTGTGCAGCACCAGCGGCGGCGGTAGACGGCGCTCCTGGCAGGCAGTCCAGTCGAAGCCCTCGAAGAAGCGGTGATGACGCAGATCGGCAAGGCAGGTAATGCGCTTCTCTGGACTTTTTTGCAGCAGCTCACTCAACAGGCTGCGTGCCTCGCTGGAGAGCGTTGGGCGAGGAGGAAGCTGCAATGGGCTCGACACGATCGCCTGACTCGTCTCCGGGCCTGTTGGCTTTAAGAACGGAAAAAACCCGGTCATGAAGGTGAAGAGCACCACGCCAAGGCTCCACCAGTCGACCGCCAAGTCGTAGCCGCTGCGCCGGCGTGAGTTGCACAGCACCTCCGGCGCGATGTAGGCTAGCGTACCGCAGCTCGTGTGCTGTCGGATGACCTGCGGTGGGGCGTAGGGGTCAGCCGCCGAGGTGGAGGTGATGTTCTTTGCGAAGCCGAAGTCGGTCAGCACTATGTGCCCCTCCGCATCGAGGACGAGGTTGTCGCCCTTGATGTCGCGGTGCACAATGCCACGAACTCGCAAGTACTCGACGGCGATCGCCAGCTCCGCAATGTAGAAGCGCGATGTCGTCTCGTCGAAGTGGAAGCTGTGGGCGGACTGCGTGTGGAGCAGCAGCTCCGCCCCCGGCAGGTAGTCAAAGAGGAGGTAGACCCGGCTGTCGGTTTGGAAGGAGCTGTGGATCTTCATGATGTAGGGGCAGTCCAGCTGGTCCAGAATCTTCTTCTCGCGCCGCGCCTCGATGACGTTTCGGACACCGTGGAAGCCGCTCTTTCGAATCACCTTCATGGCAAAGAGACGCTTGCTGAGTTTGTGCTGAACCAGGAGAACCCGACCAAAGGTGCCGGCGCCTAACATGTCCAGGCACTCAAACGCCCCCGGCCCGGTCGGGAAGCTGATGCGATTGCGTATGAAGCGCTCCACGTTGTGCGGGGCGGCCGCGACGGTTTCCATGTACCGCCGCGACTGCGTCATCCAGGAAATCTGGAGGAGCTGCTGGTACCAGTGGTCCCGTGCGCTTGGATTGGGGAAGAAAAAGTGATGGAGCACCCCTTTGTAGATGAGGCGCAGTGGGTAGGCGGCGATGCGGATCGGCTCGCTGCCCAGCTCCAGCGATAGCACCTCGCGGTTGCCGTCGTTGTAGGCGCACTGAATGCGAGGGCTCTTGCCGAGCGCGGCGCGGCTCACGTCCTCGCCCTCCTTCCCTCCCCCACCCGCCGCGGTTGTCGCCGATGAGGCCAGGGAGAGCACGGCAGGGCGGACAAGGCGGTTGCGCTCAAAGCTGCGAATGACGCTGGTGCGAATGACCTCCTCCGTCGGCGCGCCGGCGGCCATCGTCGAGCTGGATGCGGCTCCGTCTTCCTTGGCCGGGCGCGAGGGCGACGTCGCCGCGATGGAGACCATCACGCGATCTGATTCTGCCGGCACCGTCAGGAGGTACATGGTCCCCGTGCTGCCCTTCATGCGGTACACCTCCATGTCCTGCTCATACGCGTCTGTCCAGCATCTGTTCAGCAGGTCGTCGAAGCAGCTCGGCGAACGCGCACTACCACCACCACTACTACTACCGCCATTTTTGACGCTGCTGGTGGCGGTGGGGTTGGTGGACGCACGTCGCTCGTTGGGATTGACAAGGCTGCTGCGGCTAACACGCGACGGCATCAGACTCACCACCTCCACGTCCCCCGGCCCGCTCAGTACCTGAAGATCGTTCGCGTTCTTCTCCACCGTGGCTTTGTTCAGGTCCATCAGCGCGATGGGCGTGTGGGGGTGCGGCACGCGAGAGGCCAGTGCCCGCTCCGCCTCCGCCGCGTCTGGGGCGCCCTCGCTGGTGTAGAGGTTCTCTTCCCGCAGCAGCGCCATCGTACTCGCCATGGCATCATACACGTACACGTACTCATGTCTGCGCACGAGCAGGCGGGTGCGCAGGGGCCAGACCGTTGTGTTGCTCCCGAGCTGGACAAACATGTCCGGGTCTGCGTCGCCGCGACGCTTCCACGGGTACGCCTTTGCAGTTGAGGAGGAAGCGGCGGATGAGGAGGCAGCAGCGGCAGACGGTGTTAGAGGCTGAGGCCGCTTCGTGATGCTGCTCGTACGCTGCCGCAGTCGCTGCGTCGGCGAGGACGGCGTCGAGGGCATGGAGGAGGCGGTGGAGGACTTGCGCTTGCCCGCGGCCACATCTTCAATTATCTCTGCGTAGTGCAGCACGAAGGCGGCCTCCACGTCCATCAGGAAGCTGCTGGCGCAGCGAACCTCTTCCTGCGATGGGGCGGCGAAGCTCGCCTCGGGGCGGCCGGGAAACGGGTTCGGCGTGTTCCCCACGGCGTCGTTGGTGTCGCTCCGAGACAGTATCGATCCACACGAGGTCGGGCCGGCAGCGGATTCGGAGTAGGACGAGTGCGCGTAGGGCGCGGCGGCCACGGCGGCCGCCTTGACGCTCACCTGTTGTTGCTGTAGCTGCTGCCGACCGTCGGAGCTGCGCTGCGTTGCCGAGAGGCGAGGGGCGGCGGCGGCGCGAACGGTCGCGGCGGCCGCACTCGCACTCAACGCACCCGACGCCGACTCTATCGGCGCCGTTGACTCGAAAAAGCCGTGTAATCCCCGCACGTGGGCGGCGAGGTCGGCGTTGGTGGTGGCGGTGCTGTCATCGTCGTCAGCCGTTGTGGTGGCGGCGATGCTGCGTAGCGGTGAGCCAGGGAAAGGAGGGGCGGGTATGCTGAAGTTGCGCTCTCCCGATTGCGTGAAGGCGGAGGGGAGGGAGACGGAACCGGCATTGGAGTCCGCTGTGGATGTACCCCCCGGCTTCGGCGTATATTGCCGCTGGTGCTGCTGGTGCTGTGCAGCGCCGCCGCTCTCGAGCCCCCCAGAGGAGGGCAGGGGCGTCGCAGCACCACGTTCTACCATCCCCGCTGCGGCGCAGAGCAAGAGACGCGTTTTGGTATACATGGGCGTCAGCAGCACCGTCAGCGAATCCTTCACGGCGGTGCGGACCTGCTTCATGGACGGCGTGTGCAGGCTCTCCGGGGTCACCTCCTCCCCCGCCTCCACCATGCGGCGCAGCTGCGCGTCGGTCTGCACCTCCAGCGCCGCCACCACAAGCAGCGTGACAAAGTTCGTGACGTCGTCGGTGCTGAGGTGCAAATGGGCAAATGTGCTGCACAACGCCGTCAAGACCGCCTCGGGCCGCAGGAACTGAAGCGCCGTGTCGTGCAAGCTATGTGAGAGCGGCGCGTGCCCCATTGTCGCCTCGTAGTCGCTGCTGCTGTAGCAGCTGTTGCCGGCGCCAAGCTCGAGGCTGAAGCCCCCCCCGACGGCGTGCGGCAGCTGGTAGGTCAGCGTGTTCATGTTCCCCTCGATGCTCACGGGACGGGACAGCACGCCGATCCCTGCGGTGCCGACAGGGGGGAGTCGGTTGATCGGGAACGGCGAGGACGGCTGAGCGACCCGGCGGGAGTAGGACTCCGGTCGCCGGCGCGGGTCCAGCGCATTCGGCGGCGACGCCATGCTGAACAGACTGGTTGAGACGCTGCTCGCTGCGCTCATCGAACCCCCGGTGGAGGTGCCGAGGCCGCCGGCCGGTGCGGGGGGGATGACCCACTGCGTGGCGGGCACAAGTGACGGCGACACCGGCGACCGGATTGCGCTGTTGCTGTGCGAACGCTCACCAGTCCCACCACCGCGGTGCGAGCGTGTGGTGTGCGCCGCCGCCCCGGTCGAGAGAGACAGGAGCGTGCCGAAGCTGGAGTTGGAATAGAGCAGCTCGCCGTGCAGCCCGGTCCGCCGCGGACTCAGCACCGTGCTGCGCGCATTCATCGACGTGAGCAGAGTGTTGTTGTAGCTGCGCTCCTCGGGCGCGAACTCGACCTCCGCGGGGTGGCGTGCACAGAGCAAGTGCGAGCCCGGCCCGGAGGTGGCGCTCAGCGGGGAGACAGAGCGCTGCCGGTGTGAGAGGGAGGAGGCACCGAGGGGGTACTCCGTTTCCTCCCGACCACGCGCGGAGTAGGGCAGGCACACCATGTGTGCGTAGCCCTGCCCAACCGACGTGCTATTACTACCGCCTCCACGGCCAGAGGTACTGTAGGCGAGCTGATCGATCGACGTGCCACTGACGTACGCTGCGTTGCCGGTCCCCGCACCTTGATTCGGGCCGCCGTAATAATTACAGTTGTTATTCACCATGTAGGTGTTCGTTGACGGCGCCGGCGCGTGTGGTGCGGTGGAAAAGCGCCGGCCTGCCAGGGCGCTACCGGAGCTGGCGAGAGAGTGCGGCATGCTGCCCGACACGTTCAACGCGGTTCCCGCCGCGTTGTAAAGCGTGCCGGAGCTGGCCGCCCCAGCGGCAGCGGTCGCCGACCCTGTGTAGCCCGCCCTCCGCTGAAAGTGGTTGATCTCCTGCGAAGAGCTCGCCGCGCGGCGATCAGGGTTATTCGTGGAGAGACTCGTGTTGCGGCGCAGGCGGCGCTCCTCGCACGACTCACCGCCGTTGGCGAGAAAGGCGAGCGCGACGATGATGCGCTGCAGGCCGCAGCGGCCGAGCTGCAGGGCAGCCAGGCGCAGCGCTGCGCTGACGTACAGTTCCTGCGGCCCGACGTCGTCGTGGTCCGTCGCCGCTGCGGTGGCACCCGACCCTGTCGCTGCCTCGCCTGCGCACTCAGCGAGTACCGAATGCGCCTTGACTGGATGCCCGCCGATGGTGGGGTCATCTCTCCCCTCCGTGTCTCGGGCTGAGCCTTTCTCCACGCGCAGTCGGCTTGTAAGAAGCACGGCGGCGACACGCACGGTGATGAGGTCGATTTCGCGGTCCACGATCTCCCAGTCCAGCGTCAGCGCCTTGAGGCACAACTGAATTTGTTGGGCGAAGGCCATCTGCGATACACTGCCGCGCGCGGCGGCGGCGGAGGAAAGAAACGCTGCTGAGTTACCCACCCCGGAAAAGTCGGCCGTCCGCTCCGGCATCCGATAGAGCGCCGCCGTGTCTGACGATGCCCCCACGATGCCGTGCGAGGAAGGCAAAGGTGACCCGCTTAAACGCGGCGTTGTATGTCGAGGGGTTCGCACGCCAGTGAATGGGTTGCCCACTGTGGTGCCTTGACTGAAGGCAACACCCATATTTTTTATTTTGGTTTTAACAGCACCAATGAAGACGAACAAACAAACACACACACTCACACACGCACACCGAATATCTCTAAAAGTCAGGAAGTATAAACAAAACACTGTCCGTTGCACTTCGAATTCACGTCTCGATAACTTGCAAAGCCACACACACACACGCACACACAGACACAGACACGACGATATCTTTTAACCGCGAAAACTAGAATATACGTAAAGAGGAACTAAAAAAATAATGCACAGGCGTACGCAAAGCGCGATACTTCGGAAGAAACGACCGGGGAGGCAAACAAACAAACAAACAAAAAGGAAGCGAAAAGAGAATAAGATAAGTAAAACGGAGAGATAATAAGGGAGATAAGAAAATAAACAGGAAAGAAGATGCGTTGGGGGAAGGGCACAGCTGTGGAGCTCAAAAAGCCCGTCGTGTGGTACTTTCTCCGGCCTTCTTTCTTTTCGTTGTTTGCTTGAGTTCTTCAGATAGATGTCGAGGGAGAGCGCATGCAAACGAGACAGAGCGCTCCAACGAAGATAAGATCAATTAAAAAAAAAGGAAAGAAAAACAAAAACACACGATAGGTGCGCAGTCACACACGAGAGTAAAGAAGAAAATGGTAGAACAGTGGAAAGCAAAGAGATAAAACAATGAGGAGGAGGAAGAGCGTTTTTCTTTCGTTAAATTACACTATGTAGACCGTTTGTATAGCTACACTTATACTAGTATATGTATTTTGAGTCCCTTTCTTTCGTCTTTCTTCTGTTGTTGTTGTTGAAACCTATAGTAACCGGAAAAACACACGCGCGCGCACGCACAGACATAAAACAAGAAGATCAGGAAAGAAACACTAGTCAGAAAAGTAGAGAAAAAAGTTAAGGAGTAAAAAAGAAGAAGAAGAACAACAAAAGAACGTTGCGTGCTAATGACGACTCGTCAGCGCCAGTGAAGGTGAGAAAAATAGGAATTGAAAACGAGAAACAGAACTAATACTACTGTTACTACTACTGAAAATGAAGAGGGTAAGAGAGAAAACTGAAGAAGAGGAGTTCGCTGTGTATGTATACATAAGATGTATTGTAACTCAAAAGCGAAAGATAATCTGTTTTTGCTTTTAACTTTTTTTTTGGAGGGGGGTGCAACACGGGGTACACGAGATAGGATACAGTGACCAAGCTCGCGTGTGGTGTTCAGCTTAATGACCGCAGCGAGTAACGAGAGGAATACGAAAGATACAATAGTAGAAAAACAAGGTATGCATATTTACATAAATACATTCATATATGTATATATATATTCCAAAATGAAGAAAGTAGTTTAGAAGCAAATCGGCAACAAGTTAAGTCGCTGCCAACATCAAAAGAAAAATAACAAAGAAAGACCGAAAGAAGAGAGAAAGGAGGGCAATCGACAGTTGTCAATCTACACAACGGTTAAAACGCTATCAGAAGTTTTTCCTTTCTTATTTTAATGTAGAGAAAGAACGCGGAAGAAAAATACAACAACAACAACAACGGTGTAAACCAAATGCGTCGCAGTAGCACAACACGTTACTTTCTTTTGTTGTTGTTGTTGTTTCTTTTTCTTATGAGACAAGCACGATTGAAATAACGAGAAGGGGTGGTGGGGTGATCGCCAATGCGCTCTGCATCAGTGGGGAAGAAGAAGGGTGAGTGAATGAGTGGGAGAGAAAGGCAAAGGCCGTCTTCTTCTCCTTTCGTTGCTGTTATTGTTGTTGCGGTGATGTTTGGGGGTGGGGTGTCTTGAATGAAGGCGAAGTCCAATTTGTGTAGACGCGCAAGAAGGACAGGAGGGGTGGGGTGGGGTGGGTGTGTGGGGTGAAGAGGGACAATACACGTTATCAAAGGCAGAAGGGGGAGAAGAGGTTGGGGGAGGCAACGCCTCGTTAGCGGGAAGAGATAGAAAAAAAAAAAAACAACGGGAAAATATATATATGTAAAGAAGAAAGGCGAAACTACCTGAATGAAGAAGCGGGGAAAACAAGAAAGAAAGAAAGATGTGACCTGCAGATTCACCAGTCGACGAAAACTAAACCACACGCGGCGGTCGCACACAGCTATTTCAAAAAATAACAACAACAGCAGCACTACGCCTCTCCGATTCAAAAGGAAAACGGCTCAGGAAGCACACACACACACACACACAGAGAGAGAAAAAAAACACGAAAGGAGGAAAAACGAAACTGTACCCGGTTGAGCAGGAGTTAATGATAAATAACGTAAACCAAAAGCCAAGAAAACAAAACAAAAAAACACAGAGAAGCACGAGGCAATTCCAGAGAGAAAAAAGAGGCTGCAGCAGAAAAATAATTCACAACAACAACAACAACGACCAAAAGATGAACTTCCGCTTTAAAGGTAAAAATTAGAAAATAAAAAAAAATAATATGCAGCAGAATTACCCTTTCTTCGTGTTTTCCTTTTTTTTTAAAACTTCCCCCCCCTGCGCTGCACCGGTGAGGAGTCAGCGCAGGAAATAAATGACTTTTAAAAAGGAGTAAAAGGAAAAGAAGTAACGAAGCTACACGACTGAAACGATAGTAGTAGTAGTAGTAAAACACACACCAGTTGGTTGAACGAGCTCACGTCGCTTTTTTCTTTCTTTCCTTCTTTCCTTTCTTTAAACGTCACCTGGTCGTGGCCTACGGCAGATTGTATGAGGCGGCGTAGGCGTCCCTGCAGAGGAAAACACAACAAAGGAGGGAGAGAGCGAGAGGCGGGGCAGCTGAAAACGTCCTCGGTCTCCGCTTCTTTCCTCTGTTTACACCAGAAAACACTCAAGTGTAGTACTATTAATAATAATAATAGAGAAACCAAAACCAGCGAATTTCGTCGTCCTCTCCGTCTTTCCGATTTTGCGTTTTTCTCTCTTTCTCTTTTTCTTTTGGTTCTGTGATATGCGAGTCGACCGAGAGCAGCACTGCTACAGTTACTACGTGCTCTTCTCTCTTCCTTTCGCGTTTCAACGCCGGCTTGTTGACGGCCTTTTTCTTTGGTTTTGCTTTCAAGCTCTCCTGTTCGATCGGTCGTCACACGCACACACACACACACACACAGACACAGAGAGAGGGGAGGAATGAAATGAAAAGGCACTGATGACAGTTGGCAACTGCGTTGCGCGTGCCACTGTCCCTTTTCGATTGGGAGGTGAGGCGGGGAAAAACAACAACAACAGCAACAACAGTGGCTGCAGCGTTAAAAAAAAAGAACACGCTCAGAGCTTCGCAGCGACCTGTAAAAGAAATACAAGGAAGGCAATGATAATAGTAAGATTGAAGGAAAGAGGAGAAGAACGAGCGAGAAAGTAGATGAGAAGTTGGTACCGTCGTATTCATCGAACTAGGCCAGAGAGAGAGAGCGAGGAAAGAAGATTCCACTACCGCATGCGAAGCTCCCTTGTGTTGTCTCTCTCTCTCTCTCCATTTCTCCTCACGTATGATGACTTTTTCTTTCGCTGATCTTTCAGCAGCTGGACCCACACCAGCGTTCACCCACGAATACTAGGTTTCAGTTCGAGTGCCAGTAGTGGTTCACGTATATATATATATATGTAGAATCAAGAACACGAATCAAATACACACCCGCGCAACGAAGGCGGTGCTTCAAGGGGCACGTCCTACCGACGCCCCGAAATCTACCATACTCGACAGGCACGACAACCTCACAAAGCCGCTACAAGGAATGAAAGAGACAACAACAGAGCAGTCCTCCCCAAGGCAGAGAAAAAGACCGCCCTCGAGAACGTGAGAAAACAAAAAGCCTCCAACAAAACGACACGGACACACGATAGCGAATCTTTCTGTGACGAACACCAACCGCCATCCTCAACAATCGCATTAAGAAGGAGAAGCAAGTCCACAAGAACGGGAAGATTCACAGCTCCAAAAGATATCAACATAATAACAATATATATATATATATATTAACGAACCACGACAGAAAAAAAGGGGGAAAAACAAACGTTATGCCGCAGAGTCTGCTGCGGATGGACGCGCCGCCGCCGCTTCTGTTGTGTCCTTGCGAAGGCGGCGAGGTCGAGCCACCTTACGCGGTGACCGCGGCGCGTCCATCCGCAGTGCGCTGGGCGGTGTCGACGCCTGTGATGCCGGCTGCTGCTGCCCCTCCGACATCTGCGTGGCTTTTGCTGCATTCTCTTGCTCTCGCAATCGCCGCCACGACAGCTGCCCGCTCAGGCCCTCCTGCGGCATGGACAGACGGAAGTTACGCTGATGCTGCTGCGCTCCTCCTCCTCTTCCTTCATTGGCCGCGGTGTTGGCGCTATTGCGTCCACCGTCGCGCATCAAGGTGGGCTGCACGCCGCGGTTGTAGCGGCGATGATTGACGTCGTCAAAATCAACCATCACATCGTCAACGCCGGGGGTGGGGTGGAAGGCGGAGCCGAGGGCGGCAATCGCAGCATTCACCAGCGAAGCGGACGTCGTCGACGCAGAATTCGGATCGAGTGCGGGCGGTGCACGGCCACCGACGCCGTGCCGCGATGTGCCACGCAGCTCCGACGCCAGGGCTGCACCAGCGTCCGTTTCGAGACCGCCATCCTCGTCCTCGTCGTCGTACTCGGCCGCGAGCTGTGCCGCGCTGTCCGCGGACGCTGCTCCTGCCCGGTCCGCCCTGCCGAAAGGAGCTTCAATGCGGAAGACGGGGTTATATTTTCTCCGAGGTCTGCGCTGCTGCCCAACGACGGAGCTGCGCTTCGTCTCCTCCACCTCATTCGCGTCATCCACCTGCTCTGCGTCTCGGTCCACGTCGGTAGCGAAGTCCGTCGAAACAGCAAGCATCGGCGGCACGGACTCCGTCACATCATCTTCCCAGGCCGGCGGGCTGCTCGGGCGGCGGGGATAGTACGCGAAAACAAGCTCCGCCCCGGAGGCGATGACACCGTCTGACGCGGAGGACAGCGTATCTTTGCCTCCTGCGTGCTCCACGGGAAACGAAGCCGTTGGGATGGCGGATGACGAAGGCGCCGTTGTCGTTGCCGCCGCGGTATTGGAGAAGTACAGGGAGGCGCTCGGATCGATGTAGCCCTTCGGCCGCACCTCCTCCTTTGTCAGGCGGAAAAAGTCAATCCACGTCTGCCCCTGCAACGCAGCGTCTGCCAACGCAGTGCCGTCCGCCACGTGCAGGTCCAACACTGGCAGCGGCAGTGGCATCTGCGCCTTCCTCGACGACGTCGTCGATGATGACGAGTCCTTCGTGCGCTGTTGGTTCACGAAGTCGCAGTACTGATTGAGGAGCGTCTCGCGCACCGTCGTTGCCGTGTCTGCGCACCGGTGTGACGTGCGCACCGCTGCGGCAACGCTGAGGGGACGTGGCATGAAAGGGGCAAACGAATGGGAGAACACCTCACGCGGCGGAAAGGGCACGGCAGGCCCGACGGGCTTAGCCGCACCTTCCTTCTCCTCCGCCTCCTCTGCCTCCTCTGCCTCCGCTTCTCGCTTCTCGGACGAGGGCAAACGATGCTGGAAATGCTTGAGACTTGGCGTTTTCTTTGCTCCTGCGAACTTCTGCATCGTCGTGAGAAATTGTTTTGTGCGGGGCTTCCACAAAAATGCGACGGCGGCCGCGTCGGCAGGGGACATCGCACAAGGAGGAGGCGCAGTTGCACCCGTCGTTGCACCATCCTTCGTAGCCAGGGCTTCCGCCGTCTCGTCCTCCTGCTCCGTGTCCACCTGCTCTGCTGCATTACGCCATACGGCAGAGTCGTACTGCGCGCCGGTAGCCATCGCCTCGGCGGACAGCGTGACGGGCATCGAGCCAAGTTGTTCTGCCTCCTCCACTCGTGCAGCATCGCGAATAGACGACAATAACTTCCATTCCATCGCCGCTGTAGCAGCCGCCTGATCGTCTGGAGAGGCGGCGTCCCGCACAAAGGCAAATACAGGACGCCTGAAGCTGCGCTGCGACTTGGAGTGCGGCGCGGGCCGCCACCACACCTGCCGCGTGCTCCAGGCGGTGACCTGCGAGGGCAACAACCCGCCGTTGCGCTCCGCATCCCACCGCGCGGCTGCGTCGGGGTGTGTGACGTTCAGAGAGGCGTCACCGTCTGATGCGAATGCCGTTATCGTTGTAGGTGCGGCTTCGGAGGCAGCAGACGTGTTGTCCACCACAGCGCTGCCGAAGCCGCTGCAGTGCGGACAGGCAGTGCGCCCACGTGCCACGCGCGATTGCACCGTGCTCTGATATTTCTCGTTGCAGTGCGGGCAGTGCCACCAAACGGGCGTGACATCGTCCATGCAGGAGATTTTCTGTGCATCCACGTCGTTTAGTTCGGGAATCCAGTCATCCAGCAGGTCCGGCCGAACCACCGCGAGACGCAGCTGACGTGGCGGGCGCGATGCAGTTGCCGGTCCTGAGGAAGCTTCCGCAGCAGCGTTTTCCGTGATCGGCAAAGCGGCTGCCGTACTGAGCGCACGCCGCAGCAGACCCGTTGTGCTGATGGCTGCACTCAGTGCCACTGCAGCCGCACTGCGCCGCCACAGCACACGCACGGTGAAGTGCCCAGGAGAGGAGTTCGGTGCCTGTCGCATCGTGTCCGAAAATGGCCGTCAATTTCAACGCGAAACCCTCAAAGTTTTCTCTTGCTTTTCTGAAGGTGATACAAAAAATAGAAGACACTTTGGTTGCTCGTTACTACGGGGCATAACACGTGAAGGCGGTGTGGGTGATAGTTGACACACACACACACACACAGACAGACAGACCCAAACGGTAGATAAAGGAGAGGAGTCGCACAACTCCTGCTTCTCAGGCTTGAGAAGGGATACAATCTCCACCCGCGATGGCGTTTCCTTCCTACAAACAAACAAACGAGGCAAATCAGCGCGGACACGAAGGTAGGAAGTAGATAGATAGATAGATAGAGAGAGAAAAGGTCGTGACAGAAAACAGGAGCAGCAGCGGCAAGATTTACTCAGTTTCTTGAGTTCCCCCGTCATCTCCTGCGCTGCCTGTATTTATTATTACTTTTATTATTATTATGTTCGTGACGTGCAGCAGCGTGTTTTCACCTCCGATGGTTGCGAGGGAGAAACGAAGCGTACGTTGAAGTGAATTGCTCTCTTTTACGTATTTTCTTTTACAGGTTGATGCTTTAAGCGACCGCCTTTTATTTTTGGACTTCCTCCACTCTTTTTAATTCCATCTTCAATTATTTAAACGAGCTACAACTCTTGAGGAGGCTTCTGCGACGGAGCTCCACTCCCTCGCCCTCAAGGCTAAAAAAAAGCTGAAAACACCAAATACAGGAAGAGAAGAGATGCAGGCCGTTACAACTCTCCATCAACTCGTTAAGTCGACGAGAACACGAAGAAGAGAAAAAAACAACGATTCTTTAGTAGCGCCTTCGGACCTTCTTGCTCTGGCTCGTCTTCGACGCTGGATGCTGGCTGGAGCTACCGCCACTGCCGCCACGCTTCTGCGGACCGCCGTGTCGGCCAGCCTTCGAGTAGGACTGCTTCTTTCTGCTCTTGTTGGAGTTGCGGTGCTGCCGCTGCTGCTGCGTGCTTAAAATGCCTTCAATATCGTTCATAAAGGCATCTTGCTGGACCTGAAAGAACTGAAACGTGCCACCACCGTCGGCTCCGCTGCCACTCTGCTCACCTGGTGCAATGGCCGTCGTGCGCAGCACCGGTACTCCATCAGCACCCGTCACGTACGCCTCCGCACGTCGCCTCTTCAGCGCAGCGCCACCGCCGGACACCGCCACGGCCTGCGCGACCGCCTTTGGAAAGCGCGCGGACATTTGGAAGAAGCCGCGCGACCCCGTCTCCGCCGCCTTTTGCGGATCGGCCTGCCACTTTCCCATTTCTTCGTCATCTTCTTCATCGTCACGGTGGCGGACGCGACCGGCAACGCGTTCGTGCGGCTCTGCCTTCCGCCGTTCACCGGTGTTTGTCGACGCCCCACCAACACCACCAGCAGCAGCAGCAACGGCAGCCGAAGGCGACGATGACGAAAGCGAAGACAGCAGCTGTGCGTCGTCTAACTGCACGCGGCATGCCGAGACGACCACCTTCTTTTTCGGGACGAGGGTGCGGGGTTGGACGGCGGTCTGACTCGCCGCCCGCTGCAGTTCCGCGAGTCCGCTCGTCACCATGCCAAGCGGCGCAAAGCCGCTAAACTCCTCCCGCTGATCTGCCGTAGTGAGGGAGTTCAGCAGAATGTAGTAGCGACTCGCCTGCGAGTTGGGGATACCCAGGTTGCCGTACAGCAGCGTGCCTGCCTTCAAGGAGGACATTGTGGCGGCAATGCTCTGCCCTCGCGCGACGGTGTCGGCGGGCAGCTGCAGCGCCTCATCGGGGACGAAGCCGCCAAAGATGGAGTGCGTCGTGCTGCTACCGATCTCAATCACGGTGGACTTGTCAATGCGAATGACGGCGGAGTCGCTGAAGGGCACGAGGCCGGCTGCCTTCGCATTGTCCAGCGTGGCGTAGGCGATGTCCGCAGGCGAAAGGCGGAGGGCGCTCAAAAGCGTATCGGCAAGCGGCAGCTGACCCGTGCACATGAAGGCGAGGTTGGCGACGGTGCGTGGTCGCTGCGCGGGGAGCGGGATGAGGAAGTTCACGGGCAGCTCCCGCAGGACGTGCGGAAAGATGAATGATAGATCGATCTGCATGCCGGTACGCGCCACCAAAAATAGTGAGATGTATAAAAAAGAGGCCTTTGTCTTTGTACGTGTGCGAGGGTCAGTCAAAAGCGACGTAGTCCGCATATTTTCAAGAACAAAACTCGGAGGGAGCAACAACCATAATAATAATAATAACAATATTTTTTTTTTAGGTAAGATGAGAGTGAATACGTTGTCGAAGTCGTAGAGGCTGCATAACCAGTTTTCATGCCGGATTTTCATGCTTCAATACTATAATCATAATAATAATAATAATAACCACAGAGACAGCCATCGGTGTTGGTCTCAGCAGGCGGACCCGCAGCCGAGAGCGCAGGTGCAACATTCATCTTAGAAACAGCACAAAGGCCATTTTCAATTGAACACATCCATTATATATACTTACCAAGACAACCACAAACAACCACAACAGTGCGGCATCAATCAGCAAAAATAAAGCGCCGCTCCCTTTCAAGAAGAAGACCACGACTCCTCACCTCTCCCCCCGCTCTTCACCTGCGTCTTCTTCCCGCGGACGCTTACGTGGACCACTTGCGTCGTCGTCGTCATCGTCGTCCTCGACCGGACTCGCCTCGCTCTCTCTCGCCTCATCGCTGGCACCAGACAACGAGTCTTCCTCCTCGTCCTCTGCGCCGCCATCGTCGCCGCTGCTGCTGTCGTCCTCGCCACCACTTGCACCGTCGCCGTCCTCCTCATCGTCAAGGGAAGAGACACCCGACGCGCCACTCTCCTCCCGTTCCGCATTCACTTCCTGCTCATCGTCCCTGTCTTGTGACGGCTGCTTCTGCTGCTGTTGCTCGTCCTCTTGCTGCTGTTGGACTTCGCTGTCCTCGGCAGCCGTTTCTTCACCGTAGTCACTGGTGTTCGACCCGATCTCCTTCTCCTCGTTTTCCTCTTCGTCCACCTCGCTCTCATCATGGCGGCGCAGCTGCTGATCACCGAGCAGCTGTGCTACCTCCGCTTGCATGAGCTGCTTCATGTAGTGTTCCCGCAAGCGCCACTGCGCGCGGCACGCTGTTGCGCTCTCCCGCAGCGACGACGGCGCCACCGATGGCGCTGCTGTGACGGTGGAGGGAGTTGCCGGAGGGCCGTCTGTGCGATAGCTTGCGGCATCGCTCACGTCCTCGCCGCGGCTCAGGGCTGCAACGACGTTCTGTGCTTCGCGCCTGCGTCGGCGGTTCAAGCGCAGATGCTTGAGCACCGCAGAGGCCAAGGCGTAGTACGACTTCGATTTCGACGCGTGCGGCTCCACGGCGCGGATCAGCAGGTCCACCGCGCACAACGTGGAGGGAAAGGCAGCTTTGTCAAGCTGTTCGAGGATAAGAAATTGATTGCGCTGGGCGTAGGCGGGTACGTCGTGCTCGTGCGTGAGCAACTGCACGAGGGCTCGGCACACGTACGCCTCCAATTGCAGCGGGATAGCGGACGCACCGGATGCGGGGGATTCATCTGCACGAGAAGCATTCGTCTTCCGATCTGCGGCAGCAGAGGCCTTCGACGAGTCGTTTGACGCTGCGGCCGACACTTTTTCCGGCTTCTGCGTCGACGTGCTTGCGGCTGCGGCTGCTGCCGTCGCTGCAGCGTCAGCTTCCGTCCCCGCCTCCACCAGACCACGTATGACTGCCAAGGCCAGGAGTGACGGTAGCTGTGGCAACGGTGCAGATGCTGCTGATGAAGCAGTAGCAGCGGTGGCGTCATCGTTGGTGCGAACCGCGGACCCGCCTGATGCGCACAGAAAGGAGTGTGAGAAGAAGGCGCTACTGATGTTGCGGTGCGCGCCTACACCTGGCATACCAGACTCGTCCCTAGGCTCATTAGGTGAAGGACTGTGCGGCCCAGCAGCAGCGGTCTTTCCATCCTTCACACCTCCATTTGGCGTTCCAGCGGCACTCCCCTCGCCCGGATTTGCCGTCGCGTAAAGCGAGTGCAGTTGCGCAAAAAGCTCTGGTGAGAGCGTCGCAACGCTCTGCCGCTGCTGGCGCTGACCACTCAAGGCGGGAATCTCCAGGAGACGCTGAAGGACGTAGCCGATGCGCTTGCACTCTCCATCTGTGTAGGCGACAAAGTACGTGAAGGCCGCGGAGACAAACGTGAGGGCAAGGTCGGTTACTCGGCGCAGCAAAGGCTGGCGCTGCTTCTGCTGCTGATGGGACACGTCAGTGGACTCCGCGTGTTGAAAGGCCCACATGAAGAAGGCCGCGACTGCTGCCGCCTCGCGCAAGTTCAGCACCGCGCGCGGCAGAAGGTACGACACCGCAAAGTCGATCAGCGCATCATCGGCCACGGCGACGCTCGCTGCATCGGCTGGGTTCGCGGGGACGAGATCACGAACAAAAGCGTCGAGCAAGGCAGCTCGTGCGGGGGCGGAGGAGGAAAGGAGGTGTCGGTGGGCGAGCTCCTCGGCGTCGAGACGCTTCTCCTCCGTCGTCAGCCACGCTACAATCGAGGCCGCTCGTTGGGCACGGGCGCAGTCGCCGCCGCTGGACAGCACCGCCGCTGTCGACGTCGCCGCCGTCGCCAGTGGAGACGGTGCACGATGAGCTGAAAGAAGGCGCTGCGCCTTCTGCATGCACTGCTGCCACTCTTGCCGCGCTGCATTGTACGGCACCGGTGAGTACTCGAAATGCGCCGCCGTGAAGTACTGCAACAGGCGAGCAACCGACGGACTGCATTCGGAGGCCACAGAAGTGGCTGTGCCGGCGGCTGCTGTAGTAGTAATGAGATCGCTTGGTGTGAAGGTGGGGATGGGCACACGGTACACCGCATCAGCCGCCGTCAGCAGCGAGGGAGTGCGAGCCACCACGCTGCCGAGTGCTGCAAACTTGCGCCGCTGCTGCGTCTCCACGTAAAGAGCTACCTGCGGAAGCGCCACCTGCCGAACCAACGCGCAGAGGCGGTCCACCACAGAGCTGGTCGTTGGCGCGGGGAAGAGCTCTTCCAGGATAATCAGCATGTCGTCCATCGTGTTAAAGCGCTGGGCAGAGGAGAGTAGAATGACCTCCGCACCCCCGTCAAGGTCGCGCTGCAGCTCATAAATGCGGCTTTGCAGGCGGCAGAGGTGGACCAGGATGAGCTGACCCAGCGACAAGCGAGTCTCAACGTCGCCTGCCCTGACATGTTCGCCGTGCCTCGCACCTTCCTCTTCGTTTTGATAGCCGTCCATCTCGTCTTCCTCTGCTTCATCCTCACGCTGGAGAGGCACGACGCAGGGCTGCCGCAAAGCCTCCGTCAGCGCTTGCCGCGCCGTCACAAAAACGTCGGTTGGCGAGAGAAGCAGCAACGCACTACCCGAGTCCTGCCAGCAGCTCACGCGAAACGAGGTCATCGCGCCGCGGCCGAAGAAGGACGTAGTGGACGGCGTGACAGCACGCGCCTGCAGCTGCGCCGCGCTGTACTTCTCCTCGTGCTCGAGGGTGCGGTAGGCCATGACCGTGAGCAGCGCCTTGCACAGCTCCGTGCCGAGGACGATGTCGTGGCCGCTGTTGCTGCGCAGTGCGAGTTCCACGCGACGCACGAGCATCGCTCCATCGAGTACGTCGACGTTATCGCGCCACAAGGTGGACAGAAAGGTCGCGAGAATCGACGTGCGGCTTTCGCCGTTGGTATCGGTCAGTTTCTCCTCCGCAGCGTACCGCTCCATCAAGAGAAGACCTTGCTGCGTGATGAGGGTTAAGATCGTACGCGGAAGCCCGTGAAGGAGGCGGGTGTGTGCGGTTAAGAAGTTGTTCTTATAGCCGATCGCCAGAACAAAGAGGCGGTGGGCGACGAGAAGGGGCTCCGCGTAGAGGATGGGGCGCAGCGCTGCTTGGTACTCTTCGATGTTCTCCGCGTTGAGACGCTTCAGAGACTGCGACAGCAGCGCCTCGCGCTCTTTGCGCAGGAGGGCGTCGTGAGGGTGTACGAGCGCTGGTGCTGCCCAAACCCGTGACGAGTCCTTCGAGTTGCTGTTCTGTTGCTGCTGCTGCTGCTGCTGCTGCTTCGTCTGGTACATTGCCACAAAGGTCGGCGAGGGCAGTAGCGCCTCCAGCCACCGCATCACGTGGAACGGCGCGGCGGGGCTTTCACCATAGGGGATCACAGCGTAGGTGTCGGGGTGGGGGTGGCAGAGGCGGGTAAAGACTTCCACAATGTCGTCCAACGCGTCGTACACCACGAGAGCGGGTGGCAGGACACGCAGGCAGGGCATGACAACGTAGATCAGCAGCCGCTCCACCAGTGCTAAAGCGACCATCGCGCCTTCGCTTTCCTTTGAGGTGGAAACTGAAGAGGACGCCACTTTGCACAGCCACGCCAGGTGCGCCGCGAGACGCGCAAGAAGCGCCTGATGAGCCAAATAGCTCTGCACGACCGACAGCAGCGGGAAGAGAGAGTGCAGGACAGCCACCGTTTCATCGCGTAAGCCCACGGAGTCGCCGCTGTCGCCACTGGATGACGGCGGCGGCCGCTCACGAAGCGTTTCCCACCGCTGCAACCATCGGCGCAGCACCACCGAGACGTAATACACAACGCTGACGCTTCGCGGAAATGCACGCCGAGGGGGCAGCAGCACGTTCACGCTGGCAGACGACGCGCCGTCTTTGTCTCCTGCGTTCAACGGGCTTTTGGAGAGGTACTTCATACCCGCGGTGGCCAGGGTGTACTGTCCGGCTACGAGGAGGTCGCGTATGAAGCAACACGGCGAGAGCAGCGCATCCTGACTGCCGACAGTGTTCCCTGGAGGTGTCGTAGACAGGGCAATGGGACCTGAAGCCGTTGCGGCGGGTGTGAGGGAGCCTGAGCCGGAGGCCATGGCGTCTGTTCTCTGCGGGGTAGACGATGCGGGTGGTGGTGAACTTGTTTGTGCTGCCGATGCTGTTGCTGCTGCTGGTGCTGTTAACGACGTGGCAGCGAAGGCCATCTCCGCGGCTGCGCGATGTGCGCGCCATGAGAGCAACACCGGATCGAGATTCACCATTTTAATAAACCGCGATGTTTGCAGCTCACCGCGCGACGGGATCGTTGACCTCTCCGTCTGCTGGTGCGGCGCGGGACGCCTGCCACTTCTGCCGCCACCACCACCATCACCACCACCACCGCGTCGGTGGTCTCCATTGAAGCCGCCCTCGAAGCCACTGCCGTTCAGCTCCACAAATGGTGTGTTCACGATGAGCTCTGCGCGGCTTTGATCGACGTACTGCTGCACCGCGGCGGTGTAACGCGCCAGCGCAGAATTCGGCAACGCAGGGGATGGACTTACATCAGGGCCACGAAAGGAAGGTGGCAGCGGGCAGCCCGCGAAGTGCCATAGCAGCAGCGCTAAATCCCACCCCGCGACACCGCAGTACAGCGACGCCACAGCAAAGAGGCGCACGTGCTCTGTTTGCTGCGCCTCGGTGCGCCCCACGCGCATCTGCATCGCCGCCACGCAGAAGACATGAACTTTTTGAAGCTCCAAGACATGGACGTAGGCGAGGAGCTGACCGAGGGGGGCGTAGTTCCGCAGGCGCCACTCCGCCTCACACACACGGGCATCCTCGTGTATGGTTTGCAGTGAAGAAGCGGCAGCGGCAGCCGTGGGGGATGCGCTCTCCGTTGCCGCGGCTGACAGCACACCGCGGCGCGGCAGGCGATAGGCGGTCTCGACCTCCGACACCGCCGCCTCCTCGTCTCTCCGACCGCGGCCTGCACCGGCATCGGCGGCAGTGGCGGCACGCCCTGCAGCAGTCGCTTGGCCCGGCTTTGGCGCCGTCGGCGACTGGATAGGCGTGGCGTTACTGCCGCCGCTGTCGGTATTGCTGCTGCGGTTCGATACATCCGCGGCGCACACGCCGGCGGGGCGAGTGTGGGGGAGGACGTAAAGCGACGAAAGCACAGCGCAGAGGGCAGTGGCGACGAGGTGAGCGTGCGGGGTGCCCTCCCCCAGCAGCAGCGTGAGGCGGTCGCCGAAGGACCGAATTAGACATCGACATTGCTCCCACTGCTTCGACTTCTGCGTGGACGACGAGGCGGATGTGGTGCTGTCGCGGGCGATGCTGCGCGTACTGTACTGGGCCAGCTGCTCTGCCAGCTGCTCGTCTAGAGTACCGTGTGGTACGCCCTGCATCCAAGCTTCCCAGCTGCGGTGGTACTCGCACAGCAGGTCCACCAGCAGAAACATGAGCGTGGGTGCCTGCGACGTCATGTGTGGGACAAAGGACTTGAAGAGCAGCGCGGCGCGCCGGAAGCGTGTCCGGGCGATCGTGTCCTTGAGGAGATCCGCGGAGACCTGCGACCACGCCCGCAGCGCTGCCAGTTCGTTGGCCCGTGCGTCTGAGGGTCGGATAGAAAGGCAATGGCTCGTATTCGTGTTGCCCTCTTCGCTCAACGAGAGTGCTGTGACGTCTTCATCATCGGATGAGATCGGCTCCATCGCGATGCGTCGCGCGTACTCCTTGCCGCAGTTCTCAAAGAAGCGGGAAAACCCCGACGTGTCCTTTGGCGTGTGCGCAGAGAGCTGCTGGAGGTAAATAAAGAGGAAGGTGAACCAAAGGGGCTGGACGTGATGTTGCGCGCTGGCGGCGTCAGCGGCTGCGCCGTCGACCATAAGATGGCGAGCGACGCCGAAAATGCCGGCCACGATAGCGCTCGAAGCAAGCGTGACCCCTACAGGAAGCTGCGCCGCTGCGCTCGTCGCCGTCGCTGTTGCTGGACCGCTGGCCACCACCGCCGGCGCTCGATCAGAGATCAGCAGCGGCACATCCGTCACCACGCTGAGCTGAATCGCTGTGCACACAAGCACGTAAAAGCGCTCAATTTCCACCGCGGTTGCTGCGGCGTGGGAGGGGGTGGGGAGGAGGCCAGACGTGGCAGGTCCTACAACTCCACGCTGCCCTGCAGCCGTCACGCCCGGCGGCGTCGGCAGCGGAGCTCCGTCAGCGCGACGGAGGAGCTGCGAAGAGACGCCCTCAAGAGTGCTAAGGGTGACTTTTGGTTCGGCTGCTCCGCCGCTGAGGATCTGCATCAAAGCATGCGTGGTTGCGTGCTGAAGCGTGCTGCAGCTTCGAAGCGTACTATCAGGGTGTTGCGGCTGCTGAAGAACACCCCACAGAGCAGACCACACCTGGTCTTGATAAAGCGCCGCAGCAGACACAGACGATGCAGTAGCTGCCATCTACAATACTCGCAAGAAACAGTATAAGAGCACCAACAACAAAGATGGGCCGTTTCAGCTTCCTCGTTGGAGAGCTGTATCGGACTAGCCTTTGCTAGGGGAAAAGGAAAGGTTGACCAGCACAATAACACCGCCAAGCCTGCCAGAGCACACACACACACACACTCTCTCTAACCAGGAAAAAGAGGAGAACAGAAACCGATAGGGGCAAAGCAAAACGTGCGTCCGTCTCGCTTTCCCAACTACCCCCCGACCGATAAGAAGAAGAAGAAATGGTTGAGGAGGTGAGAGAGAAGGAAACGTGATCCTGTTCATATGAAAAGCAAACAAACAAAGGGAAGTGATTCAACAAGACGCTGTTCCGCTAAGTAACGACGCTTCTTCTAACAGTTCTGTCAGGGCAGTTCGCTTGTCGCGCTCTTAAAAAGACAGGCCTCTGGTGCAGAAATGGCTTTCGCGAAGGGGGGTTTTCTTCAACGCGAGGGGGTCGAGCGATCATTGACGCCAACACAGGGATAGCGATGCATCCAAATCGTTTTTTTCCTTGTCTGTAGCTCCGCAGAATTTCATCTGAGCAACATCCTTAAGACCTACGTGTGTGCGTGTATGTGTGTGTGTTCACTATGCGTGAAGAAGGATTAAACAAAAACAAAAACAACCTCGCTTAGCTTTATTCGTTCATTAGAGAGAAACACAATTTTTATTAGCGTATCAGCACAACCGCGACACCAAACGTCACCACAGTTCCTGTGTGCTCGCACGTGTAGACGGCAGCGAAGACGTCGCGCAGACACCTACACATGCAAAGGAGGCTGCTTTCGTAATGTGACTCACTGAAAGAGACTGTTCACCACGACGTCATTGCGCTGCGTGTCGTCGAGTGACTCGGCCATCGTAAAGCCCACCAACTTCGGCCTCGGCTCGTAGTTCACCGCCTTACCTTTTGTCACCCTGTGAAAACCCTTCCGCGCCCCTTCGCGAGACGGCAGTAGCGCCTGCTGCATGTCCTTCACCTTCTGCTCCAGCTGATTCGCCACCACCCCGCCGCGACGCACCAGCTCGCGCAGAAAGTCCGCGTCATCGTAGATTTCCGCATCGACGTCGCCCTCCGCGATGTGCAGTGCGCGCTGCGCCTTCACAGCCGCAGAGGAGGAGGCGCGGACGTGCTCGGGATGCGCGAGAATCGCCATGTGCGAACGATTCTTCTGCACCTTCGCGCGCAGACGCGACCGGGCGATCAAAATAGCCGCAATTTGCTGCGGCAGCGGCTGCGAGATGGTCTTGAGCTTTGCGCTGTTCGCCTGCACCAGCTTCGCTCCCCAGTAGTCCAGGCAGATGTCAGCGTGACGGAGGACACGCTCGTGATACCTTTCAACCGCGCGGTAGGTCGGCACCTCCTCCACCTTGGCGCGTTTGATTGACTTTGTGGAGTGGGATGCACCATAGGCGGCACTATCGTCGTCTTCGTTATGCACGCTACTCTTCGCACTGCTCCCTGTCGCCGCGGCGTACAGAGTGGCAAGCACGTCTTTTATATCTTCCTGTAGTTCCTCGTACTTCTCCGCTGCGGCCTCGCGCTGCTCCGCCAGCTGCTCCACGAGGTGGCGACCTTCCTCGGCCGTTGCGGCCGTTGCCGCTGCCGCCTGCTCAACGGCCGGATTGCTTTCCACAAAGAGCGAGTGAGCGTAGTACTGCGGTACGCTGATGGCACGCGTGAGGGCCGGCTGCAGCAGCACACGCAGACGTAGCAGCTGACCGTAGACCATAATAAAACGTTGAACGGCGTCACGTGTGCCCTTCGCGTCGCTCTGGACGGCGGCGGCAGCGCTCATCGTTGTCGTCGTCGCCGCCGCCGCCGCGGCATCCGCAGACGGGACAAGACTGACGTGTTGCGTCCGCCGCAGCTCGTTGAGCTGCCGAAAAATGTCCGCCTCCTCGCTGTTCATCGACGCCTCATCGCCGCCGTCCGCACCAAACGACAGCGGACGGCGCAGCCGACCAGACTTCTTCTCTTTCTGGCTCTTCTGCTCGAACCAGGCCGCGTACTCGTCTTCTGTTAAGTCCTTCGCGCGCCGTCGCTTGCGGGTCGCCGACTCCGGCTGCTTCTTCGTCTTTCGCGCCTCCGCTGCCGAGCCGTTTTGCGAGTCCGCATCGCTGAAGCTCTCCCCCTCCTTGTCCTCGCCGTCGAGCATCTCCTCTCCTTCTGCTTCCATATCACCCATATCCAACGCGCCAAAGATGTCGTCCATCGCAGCCTCGACGTTCACGGGGACGGCGGCGTATTTCCCTTCGCTGAGGCTGGTGTCGAGCGGACCACGGTGTCGCAGTCGTGAAGAGGCCGAAGAAGACGCCACGGTGCTCTTCGTGGGGCCTTTTGCCTTCTTTCCCGAGGCAGCTGCCGCACGACCAGCCTTTTGCCCATCGTACGCATCGTCTGTGCCAACGTCGCCGTTGTTGTCAATGTCGGTGTCGCTGAAGTCGAAGTCTTCCGCGACTCCGCCCTCCTCTGCGTACTCCTGACCACCACCGCCGCGGGTGGACGCCGTCAGCTGCTCATTCACGGCATCCGCCAGCGACTTCTTCTTGTGCTTGAGCGTCACCAAGGTTTGGTGTCCAGGGGAGCTGGCAAACCGCGGCATATTACAAGTTTTCTTTGGGGAGTTTCTCTTGATTTCTTATAGAGGAGAGACACTTCATATATATTTATATACATTGGTGTGTGATGTGGTGGTAGATGGGCGCAGACACCGTTGTTGTCCATAAGCGGGTGGCGCCGTTTTGTGGGCGAGGAGATGCCGTGATGAAAGGGAGAAGCAAAAAAAAAAATACGAGAGCGGAACAAGGAAAGCGCAAGGAGCCAGCATGAACTCCGAAACACACAAGCAAACACATAAAATTCATCGACTCCGATTGCGTGCGTGGAGCGGGAATGCATTTGCTTCCTTTTTTTCTTTTGGGGGAGGTGAGCCCTCGGCCGTAGAGAAGGCAGAGCGAGGTGGAAGACATCACTATGAATAAAAGGCTCCTCTGGTTCACTTTGCTTTGCGTGTTCGCTGCGATTCTGCTCCGCATATACGTATATTTTATTTCAGGCTGTTGAAGGCCATAACGCCGTTAGAAATGCGTTTGGCAAGCGACCAGCGACAACAGCAAAGAGTAGTCGTGTGCACTTGTTGTTCGTGACTTAACACACACACACACACACAACTCTCTTATTGTAGGCCCAATTTGCGCAACTCCTCCGCGAGGGTGTCTGCGCCGCCGCCACCGCCGTCGCTGCCGCTGTCACTTTCACCCTTGCCCCTTCGCCCTTTAGTAGTTCGTTGCTTGTGTTGCGGCTGCGTGTTCTTCATGTTCCTCTGCAACGCCTTCTTTTGCTTTCGGGAGAGTCGACCCCCCACTTCGGCTGCAACTTCCTTCTCGTCATGCCCACTGTCGTCGCTGCTCTTCCTTCTGCGATTTCGTGGCGAGCGTGGAGGGGTCGTGGATGCTGCCGGATGCGTTATCGTATCACCAGTTCCATTCAACCGTATGTGCTTGTCTTCCTCTTCCTCGCTTGTGCTGCGCGCGGCCTGCTCGTCCTCGCCGGACTGCTCCGCGACTGTCGCGTGCGCAGTGGAGCCAGAAGGTGTTGGGGCGGTCGAGGCGGAAGCTCCGCCCTTTTCCACATCGCGCATCAACGTCGCCGTCAGCGAGCACGTCTCCGGCGTGTACTTACTGTTCATGCGCTTCGTCTGCGGGAACGGCCGCAGTCGCACCGGCACCACCGCCAGCAGCCCTTCTCGCTTCAACTGCTTGTACGTGTACAGCCGTCGGTTGTTTTGACTGTAGTAATGTGTGCCGTCGGTCAGGACGGACAGGAGGGGCAGGTCGCGTGGTTGCAGCGCGCCATCGCGAAACTGCTGGATGGTGCTTTCAATGGTGCGACCGCAGGAAAAGCGTGGACGAATCCGCGAGAAGGTGAAGTAAATGATGAGCGGGTCAATGTCGACGATTTGCTCCGCGGACGAGTTTGCCTTGGTGGGCATCGGCCGGGGTGCGTTTAAAGAAACACCCCTTAGGTCTATGGGGCGTACGCAGAGGAGGGAGCGGAGGGGGCCAGGAGGACAGAGAGGAGGGCAAAAACTCGCGGTGTATGCTTCAGAAAAAGAGACGAGACGAGAAGACAGCCGGGAAAGACGAAGGAGGCGGCTGTTTAGGTAAACACATACTACCACTTATAATAGTAACGACGCTTTACTTTCATGTGGCATTTTTTTAAAAGGGAAATCATTCCTCCACATACATACACACATACATACATCGTCGTACGCACGTGCATACGACGATGCCGTACAGGAGTGCGCAGGAGTTTTTATCGTGCGATGTCGATGCTGGCGTTTTGCTTTCAGAAAATCTCCTATTCCTTTTTTTTTAGACAAAGAACGAGTGTCCGTCTCTGCGACGCGGTAGACGTGCTGCTGCTGCCTCGGGTGGAAAGAAACACAAAAGGCAAACTAAAAGATCCGAATTGCACCTCTTTTGCGTGTTATCCCCCCCCACCCACTTGAACAACAGCGATACCAACGACAGAATGAAGAGGAGCCTTTACGACGGAGTTTACGTGTGTGTGTGTGTACTCCTCTCGCATGCAGTTTACCCACCAACTACTAAACCCTCACCACAACATCTCTGCCGTTTGCGGGCTTCTTCAGCGCCACAACCGGTTTTTCAACGTTAAAGATGTCGGGGTCAGCCGAGAGCTTCCGCGGTTGTCGTTTCCAATACGCAAGGGCAGCCACTACGTGCTCCGCGAAGGACTCCTCTCTTATGTCCTTTGCTTGTGGGGCCACGGCAGTTTCGTCCGCGCCGCCCGATGCGGATTCCGCGTTGGCTTTCTCCACCATTCTGCCCATCGGAGCACCACCTGTAGTGCGCCGGTGGATCTCCTGCAGCGCCTCCGTCGCCTCCTTGACGGGATCGGCGGCCTCAAACGCGAGGAACGGGAAGACGCCTCGGCATAAGTTGCGGTCTGTCACCACACCAGCGGACGGCGGCCGCGTCAAAGGAGGGACAAAGCGCGAGTCCGCAAAAGAGCTGTAGGCAGCACCGTCTGATCCATTACTACTACTGCTGCTGCTGCTTCCATGTATCGCTGACCCTTCTACGTGCACGGGCTTCAACGTCAGTGTACGCAACCCAGTGTGGTGCCGCACCCAGTCCACCGAAGGCGTAAAACGGAGAGGTGTGTCTTGCGGTGCAGCAGTTGAAGGCGACGGCGCGAGGTTGTAGAGCATATCGCGGCAGTAAAGCTCGCCTTCGTCCATCGAGGTAAACAACCGGCGAGTGACCTCCTCACTCTGCGTGCCGTTGCTTTGCATTCTAAGACCGCCACCGTCGTCGGAGTCAGCGGATGCGGTGGCAGCTTTACTCGTCTCTGTGTCTCCCGTGCCACTAGACCCTGCGCTTGGGAAGAGGTTATCGAATGAATCGTACAGCTTCCCGTCTGGCTCTGCGCTGTCTGTGCGTGTCATGACGTGTGCGAGCTGTGGCACTAAGGAGGCAATCAGCAGATGCCACCCCGGTGGGAAGTGACTGACCACGTAGCGTGTCTGACTCGCGTCATCGCTGCTCAGGCGGAGTCGATGATAGCTCTCCACTATCTGGGCAAAGATGTCGGCGTGAGTGTGCTCGCAGTAGGTTGTCTTCGGAATGGCGGAGAGGGGGAGGTTCTGCAGGGGATGCGGCACGTGCATCGGCAGCGCACGCGGCCGCTGAAAGAGCCGTGGCAGACCGGGTAGCACGCGGGTAGTCCCTCGCTGAATCGCCGAGGCGAGGCTCAAAGACGAGGTGTAGATAACGGACGAGGCAGCCCCCACGGAAGCGGATGATGTCGATGTCACTACTGCCGTCGCACGGTCACCGGTCTCGGCATCGGCGTCCGTGGCCGTCAAGGGTGCCGAGGCCGCCGCATGTACGCCCGTGCTCCTGTCGCCCACTAGCTTTGTGGACGCGTCTACGGTATTGAAGACGCTGACGTTCTCAACCATGCTTGCTGCACTGCCTTCAGGATTCAGGTCTGCAAGTTGGTCTTTAGAAGCGGAGAGATCAAAAAGATCTTCATACGGCGCTGTCGCTACCGAGGCGGCGTAGGAGACGTCAAGGCCGCCCGTGGACTCGGTCGCCTTTACACTCGCGCCGAACCGCGCTGCGTCCGCCACGGAGCCCGAAACACTCGCCAACTCCTTGTCGACGTTGCTGCTGCTGCGGAGGCTGCGAAGGCCACCAACGCGCCCCACCGCATTCTTTCGAGAGGACCGTTTGTTTTGCAAGAGACGCGGACGCGTCTGCAACCATATCTTCTTCACCGCCAGCTCTTTTGCGAGCGGCAGCGCGTTTTGCGTGAGCTGCCGGGCGTGTTGGAGCACCACCAAATCGTAAAGCTCCGTCAGACAGTGCTGGATGAGCGCGCACAGCTGCGCCTCCCGGGCCCCGTTCACCTCCACGAAGGCGACGTCATCGTCCATCTTCGGCTCGTAGTCGACAACGTAGGCGTGCAGTTCGCCCAGGATGGCCTCCACGTAGTCCGCCTTCCCCTTCCCCATCCCCGCGCCTTCGTCGGCGTAGTTGGACACCAGATTCCCAATTCGCAGTATATCAAAGACAAAGTCAAGGTTCACGTTCATCTCACACGCGTCGCGAATCGCGTTAAAGCTGTAGCAGCGCTCGCCGTACAGCCACCGCTGATCGGGGTAGAGCAGCACCAATCGCTTCGAGATGTGCACCCCCCAGAAGCTGTCACCAATGTACTCCAGCCGCTCAAAGGCGACCCGGCGGCGACGGTACATCTCGGGCACCACAGCTACCGTCCTGTGCGCGGAGCCCTGTCGGGTGAGCGCGAGATCCAACACGCCGATTTTTTTCAGAGCATACATAAGATTGCCCAGGTGCGCCGCTCGCTCTTCGAGCGAGCATCGCGGGTTCGTCAGGCCATGGATGCGGGGCAGGTCCGGGCAGTGGTAGAGAGTCTCTGCCCACACGGTGAGGATGTCGTCGATGGGATACCCCCGGATAGCCAGCAATGCCATCGTGTCCAGTGCGACTTCACGAACGGGGTGGGGGACGTGACTGCCGAGGCCTGACGCGGTGATGTGCCCGCGACAGGTGAACTCCGGCCGCACCTCCTCGCGACACAAACGGCAGTAGAGGTTCTCTTCATTCTCGTTTCGTCCGCGGCCGTAGCGTGCGTCGCTCCTCGCCTCGTCGGATGCTGCGTTCGTGGAGTACGTCGAGTAGCCACCCCTGCTGCTGCCGCTGCTACTGTCAGGGCCTCGGCGGTCTTCCTCATTGTCCTCCACACCTCTCACACCACCGCTGCTGGTACCTTGTTTGCGGTAGTAAAAGGCTAAGGCGTCAGAGAAAGGCAGCGTGCGCATGGGAATGTAGGCGTTCACGCGCGTCCTCGGCGGCCCATTCAGATCGTTCGGCTCGTAAACAGGCAGGTCGTCCAGTAAATCGCTTGGCGATCGAGGGACCTGCACCAACGCCGGAGCAGAAAACGAAGTGCTGGCGTATTCAAAGACATTGGGCCGTGCCAGCGGCTGCCCCAGTGGTGCGGCAAAACGTGGAGAGTAGTTGCCCTTGTACCCACGGTGATCCGTGTGCGCCGAGGAGACCGGCTTAAGGGCTCTGACAAGCCGAGTCTGATGTAGCAGGCCGCCTCCACAGAAAGGGAGGGGCAGGCGCCATCTCTCCCGCAAGTTGGACGCGCTGCACGGTGTGGAAGAGAAGGAGCATCTTTCGTGCTCCAGTACAGGGGAGGAGGTCGTGAGCGCACACGCGGCGCCATTGTGTGGGTGCCCCTGCAACGGCCCGGCAGCGACGTCAGCGGTGATGGCAGCGAGACCGGAGGCTGCGCGAGAAACAGCGGAGGGCGTCAATGCTCTGCAGATGGGAGAAGTCGGCATTGAGGTCACCAACCTAAATAGGGAAGCCTCTTTTCCTTTTTAAAGATTTTCTTTTATTGTGACTACGCGACGACGACTCACCTTTCAATTTTTCCCCTTTCACTGCACACCCACATGTACTGGAAAGGTAAGAAGCACTTCACCACGGTTATTCAATACAGCGAGAGACAGGGAGGGGGCGAGAATGTGTGCGCGTTGAAGGAGAACGACCGTACCCAGAGGCAGCCGCAGACTGCCAGCGGAAACACCGCTTTTGCTCTCGTAAAGGATGTACACCAGATGCTATCGAAGGAATCAGAAAACAACACCAACAACAGCACTAAAATAATAATGAGTATTTCTTTTTGTTTGTAGATGTGGCAACGCCCAGCTCACACGTTCGCTTCCTTTGGGTAGAAAATGGAAAGCACCGGAGACGGCGAAGAAACAAAACTCTCTTTTAACTATCTCTATTCTTGACAGAGTCTCCAAACCTATAACGATTACCGCCGCCGAAAGGACACGTGCACACGAATCTTGTCGTGGCAACTAATCCGAGTCCGCAAAGAACTCTGCGATGTCAACATCATCCATTCCGACGCCCGTCAAGTCGTCCTCCACGGCGTCTTGCAGCGGCGGCGCTTCTTGCTGAGGACGGTCCCCAGCCTCTTCGACCGTCTCCTCAACCTTCTTGGTCTCGCCATCGCTATCTTCGTACACACCGTGGTCGTTTGCATTCCCTGCCGCTAGCGCAGCCCCGTCCACAAAGTCAGGCACTCCGCTGTCCAGCCCATCCGCGTCCGTGGGGTAAAACGCCAGCCCACCGAGAAGGCCATCCTCCTCCCCATGAGCCACGCCACCGCTACCATCCTCAGCATCGTCGCCGTCGCGCGGACGTTTCCGTGTGCCCGACTCCGACGCGTTGTTGCCTCCGCTGCGTCCTCCCAGCGTGCCAGAGGACGACGGTCCTGCAACGTCGTCTCCGCCCATCTGCTTCTGCAGCAGCGCGTTGTACATCTCGTTGAACTTGAAAAACACATCGGCTTTGTTTTCGAGCGACGGAACGAAGGAAGTGGAGTAGGGGTAGGGCATATCCTCTGGAATCGGACGCAGAGACATGCAGTAGGTGCACCGCACCGTGCCCTCGCGCAGGCTTGAGTTGAGGTCGACGCGGATGGTGTTCTTGGAGTCGCACACCGGGCAGTCAAAGGTGCGGAGGGCGTGGATGCCGTGCCTATTGGCGTTTTGATGGTAGTGGCGGGCGTCAAAGCCGTGGGATTTTTCGTTTTTGCTGGTGGGTGCCGTGCCGCCCTGTTCGCCGCGCGCTTTGCGGCTTGCGAAGCTGCTGCGCCGCTGCGCCGGGTTGCCGCTGGCGCCTGACATGGAAAAAGACCAATAACAATAACAACAATAATAATAATAGTGCCACACTTATCTGCTATTTGCGCTCGTGAAACAGGCAGGGAAGTACGTGCAGGCCCGAACCAGAAGAGAACGATTCAATAGAAAAGAAAGAGCGAAAGAAAGACACTGAAAGTAGGGCATTTTTTTTTTAACGCCGGGTTTCTTGTGAGTGCGCTGGTCGCGCCATGTTGTCTCCGCTTTTGTTGGGACACTTGAAGGACCGCGATTGAACATTTTCACTTTCTTTAAAAATTGCTCTCCTCCACTACGCATAGCCGAGTAAGGATGAAAAGCAGCGTCGGGGATGTTTTTCTTCTCCGTAAGTCCCGCTGAAGCGACGCCAGAGCTGCGGTTGTACCTCCTGCCGGCTCTCTTACGTGTATATACGTATACAAATACGTGCAACGTCGCAGCCCAAGGACTCGCAGCATTCAGAAAGGGGGAGACGGAACAGCGCACACAGAAATACAAATAGGTGTATTTAAATGATACAAGCTGAGGAGCACAACAACACCCGCATCAACAACAAACAAATGTAAGCAAATGGGTTGCTTCCTCTATCAAGTTACAGCGGAAGACTCCAGCAACGCTGGCGCCAGAAAACAGCGCCGCCAAACCCCTTTTCTTTTAAAATACAAACCCGGCACGTAGGTGCCCTGCCAACAGGCACCATCCCCACACGCTACACGAACCGCGTACGCAACGCACCAAAGACTGAAGAAAAAAGAAATATTTTTTTATCCGTCTTCGCGTTTGCACAGTTTTTACTGAAACAGCTGGTCGTACTCGTCGTCCGCGTCTTGTCCGCTGTGCACGTCCTGCCGCGGCGCGAAGTAGTGCGCCGCCGCCCCCTCCGCCTCCCCCTCAAAGTCGTCGCCCAGCTCGATCGCGCGAGAGGAGAACGCCTGCGACATTGGGGCGGCGGTTGGGGCAGCAGACATGGCCAGCTTCCGCTGCAGCTCACCGAGGGAGCGCACCGGCCGTGCTGACGGCGCTGCGGCTACCGCGCTGGTGACCGCAGGCGTTGTCGTCGTGGTGGCCGGACCGCCCGCCCAACTCTCATCGCCTCCCAGCGCAGCTGCACTGTGCAGAGAGCCATCGATGCCGTCCGCGGTGTGCCCTGCAGCCACGGAAGCGGATAACCCACCAACGCTCAGCCGCGCCTGCTGCGCCTCCCGACTCATCTCCACCCGTTGCAAGTCCTGCTGATCCTTTTGAATGAGCGCTTCATGGAAGCGGAAGAAAACGTCGACGGGCTTCTCGAGCCGTAGCACGTTCCACCGCTTCGTTCCACCGGCACCGCAGACACGGCACCGCACCGTGGCGTCGCTGGTGGAACGAAATATCTTGACGACGATGGTGGCCTTGGAGTCGCAGAGGGGGCAGTCAAAACGGGTCGGGATCTTGTACTTGCTCTCCTTCTTGACGGGTCCGTTGTTGGACTTCTTACGCTTGCCTCCCATGATGCGCTGAGGGGAGGGAGACAGTAAATCGAATCAAAAGAAAGTAGTAGTTAAGCGAGAAGTTTATATGGCGCTGCTCACCACTTATAAGCGTATGCGGACCATAAGAAACACAAGAGCAGAGAGTCGGCAAGGCGGCTGTTGAAGTGGAGGAGCGGCATCTCTCACATAAGAGAGAAAACCCCAAAAGCGGCGGGAAAAAAAAAGAGAACAGCGCTACGGCGGTAGCCATCGAGATGCTACATGCATTGTGTGCGCAAGTTCGGTCACCTCCGCTCCACCGCGCATTCAGAAACTTTTTTTTTCGTTCTAAGAACTTCCACCTATTCAGATCCGCGGTTGCGCCTCAAGCAACCCGAGGCTCCGCATGAGACCGAAGTACAACGCCTCCTTGATGAGTCCGTTCTTCGTCACATTCACTTCGCATTGTCTGCGTTTTAAGTAAAAGAGGTGCTGCGACCTCCATTCCCAACAGTCGGTGGCATCGCCGCAGCCGTGGCTGACGCTGCCCATCACGCACAAGAAAGGCTCCGGCGACAAAGCACGAAAAGAAACTAATCTGCTCTTTAAAAAAAAAAGAATTAAACGTTTAATTACGGCAACTGTAATATCTCTCGCAATCTCTTCCCCTCCCCCTTCTCGCGGAACACTACAAGATGAAAACAATACAAAAGAAAACGTACATGCTATTGATCTGCCGTTGTCTTGATGGCATCTGCGCGTGCCCGCTTCCTTGGCGATGATAATGACGACGCTTGCGTGGCAGAGTCAGAGGCAGAAGAAGGCGTCAGCGCTGATGTCTTCCTCTGCTCGTTGTTTGCTCCTACCACCGCCGCCGCCGCAGGAAGGACAGCAACAGCTGCAGTCTTTTTCGCATTCGCCGCCGCCACGGCCGCCGCAGACTCCAACACAGAGGCCCAGCGTCGCTGCAGCCGGTGCTGCGACTGAATCAAAAATTTCTCTGCTTGCTCCACCCACCACTCGGCCGAGCCAGGCGTTCGCGCTGTCTTCGGACTCGATGCGAGGTGAGAAGTGTTTGTACCGGGAGTCAGTGTGGTCGTGGTAGTGCTCTCCGCCGCCGCCGCCGCAGCAGCAGCACGACGAAGCGGGCTCTCCGCAAAGCGAAAGAAAAGCCGCTCATACGACACCGGCAGTGTGCGGGAGAGGGACTGCGAGAGCCGCTTGTACAGCGCCACCTCACCGTCTTCCAGCGTTCCACTGGGCCCATTCTTGCTGAGGAGAAGGTGAACGTGCCCGGGACGCATTGCACGCGCCGTACGACCTGCACGATGCACGTACTGCGACACCGCTTCGGGAGGGTGGTACATGATGACGTGGCCGACGTTAGGGACGTCGATGCCGCGCATGAGCGCATCCGAGGCCACCACGCACGACACCTCGGCCGCTGACCCGTCGCCGTCGTCGCCTGCGGTGTCAGCATCATCAGCAACAGCAGGACGCTGCAGAAGAGCACGGCGACGCTCTGCCTCGCTGGCCAGCGTCGTGAACTCCACCACGGAAGTGATGCCCGCCGCGGCGAGGAAGTGACCCATCACACGCGCCTCCTCTGCGGTGGCGCAGAAGACAAGAATACCCGTGCCGGCCTTGTCCTCCGCGTTTGGGTAGTCGATCGACGCCGCCGTCGCACTCTGCTTGTCCTCTTCAACTTCACTGGTGTTATCATTATTATCAGCGTCACGGTTGCTGTCGTCGGTCGCCGCACGTCGGGCGGCCTTGGCGCGACTGTGTGCCTGCACCGTGGCGATGCGCTCCCGTAGGTCATGCACCAGCTTCAGCAGCACCGCCGGACGATAGGCATCCTCCACGAAGATAACGTGCTCCTGCAGCGTCGGCGGCAATGCGAACTGCGTGCGAACGGTCATCGCTGCCGCATTGTCTTTCTTGTTCTGTGTCGTCGCCGTCGCCACGGTCACCTCCTCCTGGCGCTCCTTGCCGTTGCTGTCCAGCACGTAGTAACTGCAGTTGCGCAGCTTCACCTGCGAGATGCGTGCAATACGCGTCGAGAGTGTGGCGGAGCACAGCACCTTGTGTAACGCGGAGGTGCGAATGCTGCCGTGGCCGCCGTGCAGGCGAAGCAGCGAGGAAGAGGTGGAGGTCAGGCGAGACGCAAGCAGCTCCGACGCACGTTGCTGCCGCCGCTGCTGCTCTTGCTGCTGTTCTTGAATTTCGTACTCGTACCGTGCGTTCACTTTCTGCACTTGCGAGGCGAAGTTGCCGACCAAAATTTGGTCTGCCTCGTCAATGACGAAGAGACGCAGGTCTGCCAGGCGGAGGCCACGGGTGTGATCGAGGTGGTGCAGCAGACGCTGCGGGGTAGCCACGATGACGTCCGCGTTCGAGAAATAGCGCACCGTCACCCGGTCACGACCACGCACGTGGCTGGATGGACTACCACCACCATACGTTCTGCCAACCTCGTCTTCATAGCTCGTAGCATCATCATCGTCAACGGCGTCCTCACCGCTACTCTCGGCGTCACTCTCTTGGTCGCCATTCTCGCCCACCTTCTCCTCGCCGAAAAGGCCGCCTTTGGAAAAGTATGCGCCGTCTGCCTTTGTTGACGCGAGCGCCGGCTGGCGCGGCAGCACCACACGCCGGATCAGCAAGCTCGCCTCCGCGGCGTCTGCCTCCGCTGCGTTCCCTTCCGGTGACACCTCCGTGCAGATGCAGGCCACCCGAATCGAAGTGGGTCGCGTCAGCCGCTGCAGCTCACGGTGCACCTGCTGCCCGAGGGATGGTGTGGGCACTAAGATGAGACAGCGCAGCGCGTTGTCATCCACCCCTTTCTTCGTCTCAGTGAGCAGGCGCAGCAGCGGGACAAGATAGCACAGGGTTTTGCCACTGCCGGTGGGTGCGGTAAGGCTGACGTCGTTCGGCACCCCGCTCATCAAGGCTCGCGTGATGGTCGGAATGACGGCCTGCTGCACTGGGAGTGGGTGGGGGTAGGCAAGAATACGCTGCAGGGGTTCGCTGAGCCACTTCGCCGGCCCTACGCACGCATCCCACGTCGTGGTAGACGTGCCCGTCGACGACGAGGCAGCGGCATCACCGAGTGACATGACCTTTCCTTTCCTTTTTCCTTTCAATATGTTATCGACAAGTGTGAAAGCTACACTACAATAGCTTACGATTCTCTTCTCAACAGGATTAGAGAAAGAGAGGGGGAGGGGGGAGAGAGGGAGAACGAGGCACTTCTTATTCATGGATAAAAAGGAGAGCTGTACGTATAAAGTACAACTCCGAGCGCATTGAATGATGACATTGATAACTGCCCGCTCCATCTATACATATATATATTAAAAATAATAACCTCTTTTTTAAACGCCTGCAAGTTGATCATTCGCATCCTTTGCAAAGCACGATAGCGCGACGACGCATGCGCGACGTGACGCCAATATAGCCAATCAATAAATGCAGTGCAGCTTGTGCGGAATCCACAGCACAGGGGACCGTTTTCTTCCTCTTTGTTTTTATCATATTCGGTTACTTAACCAGAGGCGTCGAACGTGCAGTTGAGTTGACGGAACCACGAGGTCCGGAGCTTGGCACGAATAGATCGGGAAGAGGAAACAGCACCAACAACAAAAAGATCGCCTTCATCTGCGCCAACACTCCAAAAAGTGTGGAACGGCGAAGAAACAATAAATAGCAACAATAATCATAGTAAGGAAGCGGAGGAAGAGTCATTGCATCTCTACTGCACATACTCGTACACGCCCTCATCAACTTTTTCGTATAGCAGTAGGTTCTCCTTTTGCGCCAGCCGAACCAAGCGCGTTCGCCACTGCTGCTCGTTTAGTCCGTTCATACCTCCACCAATCCGCCGGCGTACGGCCATCACGTGCCACTGGTGTGTGGTGCTGTGAATGAGGTTCACCATAGGCACGCCTCCCACAGCTTCTACGTAAAGTGAGGAGCGGAAGAATTGTGTCATGAGAACGCGCTGGTGAATAGCGGCCTCGGTGCAGTATTCATGTGCTGTGATGAACACAGCTCCTTTCCCCCGCAAGCGCTGCTGCAACGACGGTGACGATGACGGAGTTGACACGCAATCTGGCGGCAGCGCACCCGTCAGCGGCATCTTCTCGCGAAACAGAATTCCTTGAAAGAGAACCCCTGTTATGGGGAGGCGTCGCGTCGCGGTGGGCATGAGTAGCTCCGACGGTGCCGTGCCTTCTTTAAAAAAGTCGCAAATTTTGTCGCGGTGGCAACACATGTTCAGCAGTCGGAAGTTGAGCACGGAGGCGTCAACGCGATCCTGCAGTGAAAACGGCGAGCCGCTCGAGGAGCAGATGGACTGCATGGCAGCAAAAGTTTCCACGTCGGCCGAGAGCAGCGGCAGAAGTCGGTACATAAAGTGCGGCTGATGGATCTTGAGGAGAGACGCAAAGGTGGGGACGATAATGTCGCGCGGCAGGCGCGGAAGCCGCGGGTCTTGGCCGGCGGTATAGGTCATGAGTGCCAGACGTCGTAGTTTGTAGCCGAGGAAGGTTCTTGCTAACACGTTCTCGTGAAAAACCTTGCCATTTAACTGCATGACGCGCAGCGGCACCTTGCGCGCTTTTGGGAATTTGACCAGCGCTGCATAGGCGTCGCGCTGCATTTTCCACCCTTTCTCTCCTGAAAATTCGCGCGACCGCGGAGGCGACGCAGAAACCAACCAACCAACAATCAAAGGCTGTTGTGCTCCAAGTGACGTGGGGATGCGAAAGAGACATCAAGAAAAAAAATGAGAATTACATAAAGAGAAAATTGGTCGAGTAAGTTTGTCGAAGGAAATGTTTCGTCGGTTAAAGTCACTCGAATCGTTTTCGGCAGCGCGAGTAAGACGATCGGTGTGTCTTTATTATTATTATTATTAATACATACTGACGTATTCCACCCTCCGAAAACTGTGGTGTTGCTTTCACAAGGCAACAGACGAAAAAAGAAAAAGCCCACGCAGGAATGTGTGATGCAAGGTGAAACGCCAGCACCGCTTCCCGCTTCTGTCCTTTTCCATTTCCGTTCTGCCGCTTTTTCTCTTTTCGCTTGTTCTCCCCCCCCCCCCCCCACCCGCGCGCAGAGAACCTCCACCTATAAATAACGCAACGACTTCACCTCGCATACGAGCGACAGGTACACCCACAACAGACAAAACAGAAACAAATAAAATAAGAATAAAAACCCCAACCACACAACACGAGATCGTCGCAAGTAATTGAAAACCGTCAACAACAACAACATGACACTAAACTGCGACGGCACGCAATTGACTCGCGCTTGCCCCTCCCCTTCCCTTTACACCCACCCACCCACACACATGTACATGCACAACAAAGCCAATCTCACTTCGCGACACTGTCGTAGCTGCGCAAGGTGGGCAGAAGGCTGCGGCGCACCCCACTGCTGCGGAAAATCTGTTGATGCAACAACGCTAAGCCAATGGCGCGCGGCCGCTGCACAAATCTCCGTTGCTGACGGCGCTTTGCAATCCACTTCTGGTAGGTTGCCTGCTGATCAGGCGTGAGTTCCTGCCACGACCGCGGCCGGCGATCTGCGCGGGAGGAGGCGGTGCGGTCGAGGTCAACGATGTCGGGCGTGTTCACGTCCATCTTCAGCAACTCCCGCAGCAACATACCGGGGTACACCCCAGCCGGCAGCCGTAAGTGCACCTGGAGGACGCTGCCATGATGTTGGGGTAGCCACGACGGCACCGGCGGAGCGCGACGGTAGCGTGATCGAATTGCCGGCTTCTTCCCTTCGCCTCCATCATCTCCACTCGTACGCTGCAGGGTTGACTGCCGCATGAACTGCGAAGTACCGGACCACAGCTTGGGACTACGGTACGAGGTGGCCGCCTTCACCGCGGCGGGTGACCGGACAAAAGACACCGGTCTGCTGGTCTGGACACTGCTGTCTACAGCCCCACGCCCGCTTTGCGTCGCCGTCGTCGTCTCTGTCAGTGAGCTGCCCGGCGTTAACTCCTTCATCTTCACGCCAGCGCCCTCTTCGTCCTCGACGGCTCCGCCCGACTCACTCTTGGGCAGATGCAGCGCAACAGGTCGCTTCACCACCGACGTGGCGGCCGTGGCGGAAGACGACCAGCCCGGCTCCTCCAATTGCCGCGTCGCCCCTGCTGCAGCGCCCACGAGACTCAGGGTCGTCGCGGTGGTCTCGTTGAGGCGTGCCTGGGCTCGTGTGGCGAGGCCCCAGCGCTGGTACGGGTCTCCCACGGCGCCTCGGATGAGCCGCCACCGCATTTCCTGCCCGCTGGGCTGCACCAACGGATGGCGGTACGTCGCCTCCAGCGTAAGCCCCAACGGGTTGCCGCTGCCGCCGCGCAGAGGCCGCAGGTCGGGTCGCAGACCTGCCGCATCAAAACTCTCCTCTTCACCTTTCTCCTCTTCCATCGACGAAGACGACGATAGCAGAGGCCGGCCGCCGTGGTCGTCGTCATTATGGCGCAGCAACGCCTCGGCAGATGGCGTGCGGGTTCCAAGCTCCTCCTCCATCAAGGCAAAAGTGGAGGTAAGATTGTAGTACGGCGAGATGCCACCATCTTGCCTTCGATTTTCCCCGCTGTTCGACCACCGGGGTGGGGAAAAGCACTGCCACTGCCGCGACTCCGGATCGAACGGGAGGCCATAACGCTGCAGCGTCACCACGTACAAATCCTCTGTATGATTTTGCGGGAGTTGAATGTGCGCGCCGGGAAGCGGCAGCACGAGGTCGTAGGGCGTGTACACACCACGAGCAATGGCATCACGCGAGGCGTAGATGGGCTGCCTTGCCACCCCCCCCTCTACTTCATCGCCGTCTGCGAGATCATAAGTGGCGCCGCGGCGTCGCACGAGGTCGCCGGGCAGCAGCGAGAAGGTGCCGTAACGCTGAAATCGCTGATTCACCACGTCGTTCCATACAAAACACAGAAATTCCTGAATGAGCATCGCACAAGCCCGAGGGCCGATGACGCGCAAAAAAGCCTCGGCACATGGGTCGTCGTCGATGCCGCTCGCGCCTATTCCACCGCCTGTCCGTACTGCCGGCGGCGGCGCTGCGAACGGTTTCGGTTGCCGTGCGCCAAAACTGCTCTGACGGCGGGGCGAGGTGAGTGAAGACGCACCGTGGCCGTTGAGTTCGCCGTCCGCGTTGTCGCCGGAGATGAGCGCGGCGGCCTGGAGTGCGTTGTAGAGCACCTTCTGCATCGGCGACCCATGCTCCGCGACAGAGCGGCGGGTACCGGAGCGCAGGAAATCGGGCAGCCGCGCACCACCGTAGCCCTGAAGGGCTTGCATCCGCGGAAACGCGTGTCCGGTGCGTTGGCGTTCCGCCTCTAGCGCGGCGTCGAGATAAAACTGCTGGACTAAGATGTGTGCTGCGGCCTTGTGCTCACCTTTCAGTAGGTGCAGCCCGGGGTGCATGTTCATCTTTGTGTACGTGGCGAAGCGCTGCGGACCGTAGTAGTTGATGAAGCCTTTTCTTGCAACGGAAGTCACGGCGGGTGTGACGAGGGGTAGATGCTTTTCTGGAATCCGTCGAAGATTGAGCAGGTAGTCGTACGCCGTACAGTCCCCGATGCGAAGATCAAACCGCGTGCTTTCCGCTTCCATGTCGGTGCAGAGGTACTCGAAAAGCTTCTCCGGCGGGAGCTTCGGTGGTGCGGCTTCAGCGGCTTGCTTCTTGTCCACTTTGCTACCCCGCTTGCCTTTTTTCTTGGAACTCTTTTTCCCTTTCCGTTTTTCAGCCGCCGTTGCAGCGTGACTGCCGCGCTCTGCATCTTCTTCGGCGCCGTTGTCAGCACCACCGCATCCTTCTCCGTCGTTCTGCGATCGTCGGCGATTCACCAACGCTAGGTGCTCCTTGACGCGCTGCGGAAGTGAGTCCGCAGACTGACCCAGCACATCTTCCGCGTCGACACGGTTGTGGTACACCACTTTCACGTCGAAAAGTCGGTAGTAGTTCTCTTTCCAAAATTGCCGCTCATCGTTGGTCACGACGGTGGAGCTGTCTGGAGCGAGCGAGAGAACCTGGTGGCGAGCGTGCAGAGAGTGCGTAGCCGCGGAGTCGCCCACCTTTTCACCGACGACAGCAGACGATGGTGCTGTGTGGCCGATAAGCCCTCGCCCTCTGTTGCTGTGTGCTCCGTTTCTCGGGACACGTACCGCGTGGAAAGACAAGTTCTTGGGGAGTGCCAGTGCACTTGAGTCAGCGTGGCCCTGTGAAGACGTTGTGCCTTTCCTACTTGCTGCAGCCGGTGACGGAAGAGATCGGTCGGTGAAGTAGTCACCAATTTCGTCTTGCAGCGATGCCAACAAGGTCTCGACGTGTGCGCGACAGCTGCCACGAATGCGAATACGTTGAAACGAATGTGTCCCGTTTTCTAGCATTCCGGAGTGCGAGACTACAACTTTGGGTTCGTAAAAAACAGGCACGAGCGCATCAGTACTTAGGGCGTTTTTTGATTTCTTTTTGTTCTCAGAGTCCGTGTCTGCGTCGATGGCGTCGACAACAGACAGACGTAGCAGTTGTAGTTGATCGTGCTGCATGTCGGTGAGTGTTTTCGTAATGTCCTCAACCACCATGTTGTGCGGTAAGCCTTTACGCTCCAGCGTGCATTCAATCACCACAAAATCAGCTGAAAGAGGCACGTATCGTTTGCGCGAACCCGATTTGGTCGCGCCACTGGTATACGGTGCAAGTGAGAGAGATGTCAAAGCGCGTGCAGAGTCGGTCGTTTCCCCATGCAGGCTGGCTTCAGCTGGGTTTGTATCGCGAGCAGCCTCCAATTCCTTCAACTCGGCAATGTACTCTTCGTTCTCTTCGTACTCCTTTAATCGGCTGATCGAAACATATAAGTAATCGAGATCGCCGTGCACGTGAAGGTCCTTGATCAAGTGTCCCCATGCTCGCCATACCGACGTCACCGCGGCGCGCATGCGATCAGACGAAGGATTCTCATCCGAATCTGCTGCACTAAAAACGACCCCGGTAACGGTAGACACTTTCGTGACCATTTTGCGAATCCACGGAATACGAACCGAGTTGTTGTCACACACGGGATTGCATATTTTGTATAAAGCACGCTCTTCTTCACCCGAAGCACTGAGCAGCAGGGACGACGACGTCGGCGACGGCTCATGTTGCTTCATCATGGTTTGCCCAATGAATTGGCGAAGTGTAAACACGCCGTTTTGCCCAATTGCTTTCTCCAGCTGAAATAATTCCGGAGAAAAATAAATCTCAACCTCAACATGGGGCAGGCGGTTTGCTGCCGCGGTTGCTGCGTTATTTGGGGCGACAAATTTGGCGATGTGAAACGGAAACTCTTGCATAAGCCCGCTGTCCGCGACAATACCACCGGCCACCCACAGCGAGTACGAAATATCACCTTCAGCTGCCGGCACTGCCAGCAGAGGATTTTTAAACGCCTGCAGCTCGGTCGTGTCTTTGCGACCGAAGAGCGTGACGGCCATCTCGACCGGCTCCAGCAGGTGGGACGATGAGGAGAGGCTTTTGTATCCTTTAGCGTTTGATTCCGCGACTTCACCGACAAGGCGGTCCACAACAGATACCTGATGGTCCTTGGAGATTAACGCACCGCTCTGTCGACGGTCTTTCAGCTCAGCTAACACACTTTGCGTAACGAGCTGCAATGCTGAGTTGAGTGTCCGCAATACAAGGTCTTTGGACTCTTTAAAACTTCTACGCTCCATCACAACTTTTGACGACTCAACCACTTGATTGACCCTTTCGCTGCTGTGAACTAGTGATGAACTCTGAGCCAGTTTTTCCGGTTCCTCAGACGCTGCCGACACTTCTTCCGAATCTTCCCAAATTTCCCGTACTACGTAATCATCCGGTACATCCTTGACGTACGCCTGAAAACCGGGTACGCTAGGCTTGGTAAACCGGCTAATGTGGCATTTTCTTTCCGGTGCAAGTCCGTTGCGCTGTCGTTGGGCTATTTGAAGTTCGTGATAGATACCTTGATTGAACCGCTCATGAGCAACACGGAGAAGACTACGTGACTCCGGTGTGTCGAATTTACTTTGGGCATCCTCGATGCTGAGCCCTAAAATTAAACGCCGAAAGCTGCATCGCGAGCGATTCATATTCTATGGTGTTTTTCCTTATCTATGTTGCTTGTATGTATTTAAACCGAGTTTTTTTTTTATTGTTCAATATCGCTTACACTTCTATGGAGACTCGAAGGCAGCTGCTGCATCGGTGCCGTCAAAACAGGTCCTCGTGCTTTCTGCGGTAAACAACAACAACAGCAACAACAACAAATTCTATAAAGAGAAAGTGTACGCCAATATTGTATACAGCAGGTGGGTATCGGAGGATAGGAAACACTGTGTTTCTCAATCGAGGATAGTTGCAAGGAGCAGATTGAAAAACGGAAAAAAAGCGCACCACGTCTGGTGCTTCTCTTGATTATGGAGATATAGAGTTTTAACGATTCCAAGTAGAACGGCATTCAAGAGAAGAGAAAGTAGCAAGCGATGGTGCATAACTGCAAGAAAGCTGATTAGGTTGCATGAGTACAAGGGGTTGACTATGCTTTGAAGCAGTTAAGGAGATGACATAAGGGTCGGATTTGCCCTTCCATGGATCGGAAACTTAGAAAAAAAATTCTCCAACCTTCGGTTTACTCAGGTTTGACACAAAGCATGAACCACCGCAAAACTTCCCAAAAAAACAGTTTTTCTGTTGTCCTTTTTGATATGGATAAGATAAATTTCAGACCTGTAGTGCTTTGTGAACAAGAGAGCAAGTCAATAAGAATAACAGAAAAACGGTTATTGCCATGTCAGCTAGAACACCAGTGAAAAACTCTCTGTGAAGAGCAATTCGTCTTTCTTGCGCATAAACAAAATGCGAGCCGAGAGGAAATACGCTTCTAAACAACACAAACGTGATACTGCTTTCTAAAGTATCACTCTTTTCGGGTATCGCTAAAGCCATACACATCGCTAATGTGGACGCCGATACGATCCACGGTGTCGCGGATTCCCATGACCTGAAAATAGAAGTCTTTCATTTTACAATCTGGCCCCACAAGATAGATGGCACTGCTGTGGTCGAATTGGTAGGTGTCGTCAATAACAGGTGCATCTACTCCCTTTGCCTCGCGAGCTTCCCGCTCCTCATCTGTCTCATCCACTGAGGAATAGTAGACACGCCACGCTTTCGCAGCTGTCTCGACTTCTTGCTTTGTCCCGCAGAGGCCGCGCACTCGTGGGTCGTACTTGCGCACAAACTTCTCCACGACTTCCGGCTGGTCGCGCAGAAAGTCAATGCTGAGAAACACCGCCTGCAGTTTCTTCTCCTCGTTCGCCAAATCGGGATCGTTACCGTACTCCTCATCACAGGCTTTCATCACTTGTGAAATATAGGTCAGCGTGTTGGGGCAGATCTCGGCGCATTTAGAGAAGCCGAAGTAAAGGAGTGTCCACTTGTCTTTGAACAGCTCCTCGTCGGTGATGTACTCGCCCGTTCGACTCTCCCTCAGGCGAAAAGGACCTCCAAGCTGCGTTCTCGGTTCCATTTTGACCGACTTCGTTGACTGGAAATCGGGGGCTAGCTCCGGCTTCACCAATTTTTGATTTTCATACCAATTCGTCAACGCGACGAAGACCGGAAAGATGGACGCACCCGCCACCAGTCCCCAGAATTCCGCCCTCGATCGCGGGCCATATTTAAACCTCGCGTAAAACGGTTGTGTAGAAGAGGCGTACCGCAGAAACGGACGCTGCTGCAGCTTTCTCAGTAACTGCATGTCTCTCTTTTCGCTCTCTGGTAGAAGTGTGTTTGTTACTTCCGCAACTGTCTTATGTGTTGGTACTGCTAACAGCAACATGGAGAAGAGGTTGGGCAATCATTTAGAGAAGAGTAGCAACCAAGAAAAGAAAATTATGGCAAATAAAGAGGAGATATAGGGAGACAGAGGAGCGTCTTTCCGGGAGTTGAGTCATTTGCTCAACTACGGCTATACGTTTCGATTTAGACAGTGTTTCGTCACTAAAGAAGAAACAACCACGGCACTAACCTAGCCTGGGAAACGGGAAAAGGTAAAAGCCACCGACAAGCTCTTCTTTTTTACAGTAAGGAGGAGAAAACGGCTAAGATCCAAAAAGTGCTTACTACATCAAGTAACTGCTCTAGCATCTCAAAACAGTTTGAAATGACTCAAATTGCCACTCAACATTTTCTGCACACTTTTCACATCTTATTGTAACTGCAAGTATGTGTGCTGAATCGCCAGCAATTTGGACACACGAGTACATCCACCTTTCGCCGCTGTTATCCCGCAACGAAACCGTCACAGGTAGCGCGCGAGTTGAAGTCGCTGCTTCTGGCACCAGCTCGGTAATAGAAAAGGTACCCATGTCTCGGTCGAAGCATAGAGAAATGTCGCTCATTTGCAAATGAGACGATATCCCAAGACCAAGAGCCTTTAAAACGCATTCTTTTACGGCCCAGTGAACTGCCAGAAAAACTGATCGTTGCGGTGGGTCTTTTTGCCGTACACACTCAAGCTCCTTTTTGGAGAGAATCGCCTGCGAAAACGTGTGGTCTTCTAGTTGGACTGCCACAATATCGACACCGACAGCATAGAAAGCAGAATAGGCACAACAAATCCAGTCGGAAACGTGCGAGACGCTAAAACTGCCACTTTTGTAGAATGAGGTGTACGGCTTGCCGTAAACGGTCGTAGAAAGCAGTACTTCCGCTTTGTTGACGGCTGTTGTGGAACAAGATGAGTGGGCTGGGTGGCACAACTGGTTTACCAGCAAGTGCCTTGCTAAGAGCCGGGATTTTACGAGGTTTGCGTGGTGTTGCAAATCGCAAGGCGGCATCTGCCGTTGCGCCTCTTCAATAGCGCTTCTAACCAAGTCGTTTTTGTGCAATGTATGAACCGCATCCCAAAATTCTTCCCGTGACGGTTCCCATCGCGCAGCATTGGCAATTATGACCTTCATCGGCGCTGCTCGCCCTCTGTGTTTCTCGATTGGTGGCGCAGATGGGTTTGGGGGCGGGGCGGGAATCTTCTTGTGTTCCGCTGTCTTTCCTCGGGGGCTCGAGGGGGGGGGGGTTGCCGGTGGGCGCCCGGGGCCGGCCCAGCGCGGGCAGGCGGCGCCGTGGCCC